ATATTTTTATTATTATTATTATTATTATTATTATTATTATTATTATTATTATTATTATTATTATTATTATTATTATTAAACACACTAACGTAAATAAAACGTTTGCGCTTATGTTTTGTAATATCTTATTGACATCTAGTGTGTTCACTAGATGATATACCTACTGCGTTTTTACTGTAAATGATGCTTTGTCTTCATTTTAATTTAACAGCGTAAAATGGATTGTAAGTGTCTAAAGATGAAAACCTAGTGAAACCAGGAAAAGTTTTTTATGCTGGTGATTACAATTGACAAATATTTAAAAGAATTTGCTTATAAGCCCAGAATTGTGAAAATATTAGATTCTGTCTAAAATTATGAAAATGAAAATGGTTTATATGCAGGCCTAATTTTTATTGAGGTATCTCCAAAGTCCCTTAGAGTTTTATATTGAGACAGAAAGTTTTTAAATTTGAGACTGTATGAAAAATATTTTTCATTACATGCTAATCGATAACATTTGATATACAATATTTTGTTATGATAAATTTTTCACATGTTCATCATAAACAAATAGTGTTCTCTGTCGAAACCACGCGAGCTACCCGCTCGTACAGCTCCTACTCAGGTTCTTCTTTTATATAAACACAACGTACTTTTCTTTTAAAATATATTTTCCACAAAACACAAAACAACAAGATTACATTTGACGTTATNGAAACCACGCGAGTTACCCGCTCGTACAGCTCCTACTCAGGTTCTTCTTTTATATAAACACAACGTACTTTTCTTTTAAAATATATTTTCCACAAAACACAAAACAACAAGATTACATTTGACGTTATTATCAATAATAACAATTGTTTTTATTTTAACAAAACAAAACTCTCATGTCAAGATACAGATAGGATACAGATTATCGATGTCTTTAACATGCTCCCACCTAAGAAATTTCTGTATAAAAGCTAACAAATTTATTATGAGACAAAAGAGACATCAGCTCCACTTTACTGATTGGAAATACTTAACTATGTCTTAAATCTACTAGGTCTTTTGACTGAACGTCCACTTCGCGTAACGGACACTTTGTCTACGGATACTCTGCTTTTATACAGCACTCCCGCACAATCACTTTCGTACTCAACACTAGCAGTCGCCTCTTCGGGAAAGTTTCTTTGAAGTTCGGTGACATCACTGCATTCAAGGGGGTAGATATTTTGTAGAGGCCGAGGAAGTTCTTCACCAACCGTATTCACACGAACTAAACGAACAGTTCCATCAATGCATATGCAGGCAATCACATTACTTTTCCTCTCTCTGTTTACTTCTAGTTCGTCACATTCTAGATTTTCTTGTACCCACAGAGATTGCGGTTGAAGAAGCTATCCCTCCCACCATCTAAATTCAAACAGATCTTTAGCAGAACAGCCTCGGGAGGTAAGTCTGCTGGGTTCAAATCTCCAGCACATATCTCCATGACTCGATAGTAGTTAACGAACGGATCTTTATAATTCGATTCCCTACAAATGGTGCCCATAGTTCTTGTCTTTGTATCCACGAAATAACAGTAGAAGAGTTGCTCCAGCAAAGATATTCAATTTCTTTTTCAAGGCTTTCCAATATAGACTTGGTTAACCTGGCTCATATCGTTGCAGCCAGCAGTTCTAACCGCGGTATCGTTAAATTCTTTAAGGGAGCAACTCTGGCTCTGGCGGCTAGCAACTGAACAGTTACTGTTTGGCTTTGTTCCACTCTTAAGAAAACTACCGTAGAATACGCATTTTTACTGGCATCGCAGAAGGTGTGCAGGCTCAAATTTACTGCTTCGCCTGGTCCTGCACAATCCAACGGGGTATTTCGATTTTCATCAAGTACGGAAGTCCATCAAGCCAATTCTTAAAGGCACATTCTAATTCCCGATCTACTGGAGTATCCCAACCTATTTTGAGACACCTAAAACAGGCTCTTTTATCAAAGAAAATGTTCATGTTTACGTTCCAAGCTGAACTTTTGTGCTTTAACACAAGTCTCGCTTACATGTGATCCTTCACAAAACACACACTTGGCAACATCGCAGCTTACTAGGGTACTCGCCGTCGGTACAATCGTCTCATGAGGTTTTGCCTTTCTCTTGACTTCTTTGCCTGCGTATGAATCTTCGGAACATAATTCAAATCCTCCCTTAGCCAAAGAAATGCGTTGTTCGTTTTCCACTTCCCTCTTAAGAAAATTCATTAAATTTTTCAACTGACTGAATGAATCCTTGATAGGGAGTGATTCGCGAGACCCAAGCTCTCTTGCTTCCATATCTGTTGATGTTCTTCTTCCTACACGTTGCCAAACTCTAAGCAGGTCTTCTGGTAGGCACGACTCTATTAAAGGAAAGAGCATGGCAGAACATTTTTCGGAGGTTCCTCCGAGGGTTTCAAGCGCCCTCATCTGGGATTCTAACCTGTCGTACAATGTAAAAAGATCTACTTTATTTTTCGACATGGCATTGTGTAAAATGAGCTTTAACAGTTCACGAACATATACTTCTATTTGTAGATCTTCTCTACCAAATCGCGCCTCTAGCCCCTGAACTATTTTCTCATAATTTTTTCCTATTGCAGGGAAGCTTTCCACTAGTTGCCTGGCCCTACTGCCTGGTACTGTTGCTTGAATTAAATATTCTACCTTATCTACCAAAGCAATATCAGGATCATCATGTATTTTCCTAAACTGTACCCAAAATGACAACCAGTCGCGTATATTGCCATCAAATTTTTTAAACTCTATAGTAGGAAGTTTAAATTTATGCCTACTTATTACGCCACTGGCCTCTGAAATCACCGATTGCAGATCTTCCTGTCTTCTTTGCTGACAATTTGAGGAAACATCATTGTAACGGATTCTCAAATCAGTAAATCTCTTTTCATAATTATCACATAGTTCCAATTCTGTTAACAATAAATCCTCTTCAGTTGCATCGTCTGCTAGAATTGCTTCATAAATATCTCGGTCTACCACTTTCAGATTATCATGTTTTTGTACAAGCAGCTCCCATGACACCTGAGTGTCTCTTAAACTAGCTGGGGATCTGTCACTACTTGTCAACAGGGTTTCTAAGTCACTTGCATTATTTGTAAATGCAGTACGCAGTACTTTGCGATGTTTCTTATTTTGTTCCACGTTCGAACCCATGATAAACTCTGTTCAAAACAACACTTGTTTCACAAAATTCCAATACACAAACAGTGCGAAAGTTTATCGTTCCGAAATTCACAAATATCTGGTACAAACACAAACGTTTTTCACTATACAGAGAGTCCTGTCACGGTCGCCATTATGTTCTGTGTCGAAACCACGCGAGTTACCCGCTCGTACAGCTCCTACTCAGGTTCTTCTTTTATATAAACACAACGTACTTTTCTTTTAAAATATATTTTCCACAAAACACAAAACAACAAGATTACATTTGACGTTATTATCAATAATAACTAACAAAACAAAACTCCCATGTCAATACAAAAGATAGGATACAGATTATCGATGTCTCTAACAAATAGTAAATATTGTCTGGAATAATTTCAAAGGTTTATTACTGTTGTTATGATACAAGCAATCTAATCTTATGGAGGTTAGTCAATAAAATGATATCAATGGTAGGTAGTAAAATATAAATTGCACATTGAAATTTAACGGGAGCAACCCACTGGCTTCGGTAATCCGTAAATAAAAATCAACATAGGGAATCATTGGACAAACTTCAGAAACAATAAAATGTTTTATCGTGTCTCGAGAGCAAACGATGAAATGTAAGAAATCCAGATTGTCACATAAATTCAGGAGCTGTCCATTTTGTATAAGATATTCTTGATTGAAAATGATAAAGGTCATGTCTGGGTAGAGGTAGATTAAGAGAAAAAAAATAGACTGCTTTGCAATAAAATTGAAATAAAAAGCAAAAGCTGAGTTGATGTTGATATGTTTATAGGTATATTATCATAATGAAAAAAAAATGTAGTAACTCATCACATCATGGATTAGTGGTGCTTGCAAAGGGTGTTTCTTTAATAATGGGAAAACCTTTAAGAAAAGTAAGAGAGTCTTTTCAAAAACGTCTACGGTCCAAGTTACATCCCTTTAAGGGGTAGGCTAAAATTCCGTTTTTATTTTATTTCTCACAGTTGGAGAAACATAGAAGATTATTGTTTTTCTTATCAAATGACTGTCTAAACCGATATTTTAAATCATTTGTGACCCACGAGCGGGTTTTTTGTTTCTTTATTGCACTTCTATCTTGTATTTTTCCACTAAAATGTTTTGTAAAAAATAGAGTACATGTGCATTAAAAAAACATTAAACGTAGCCAGTGTACTAATTATATTTTATTTTATGCTGATAAAACTTACATACATATTTAATTATTTTTTTTACCACATTCTTTTCTTTTTCTAAATAGTTGTTTATCAGGGATTTGCGAAAATAATATATTGTTGTCGCTATGTATATCTCGCCTCACTTAATACAACAGGTGTACAATTTATGGTCTTTAAAATGGTAAACTACACAAACAGTAAAAAATGCGAGATGCACTTCGTTTATGGTCTTGCTAGTATTTTTTGAATAAATTGTAAAAAGAAACTTATTTGGTTTATTTTTTTTTACTAACAAACCGAACATTTTAATAAAAAATACAAAAGACAAAAAGTTTTTAAGTGATTAAAAATATCGGTTCTGATAAACAAAAATGGAAAAAGAAAAAGTGTAATTTTGTAACAAAATTAAACTGACATTTGTATCCTTCGTACTATCATTACTATTATTACATAGCACCAGTTCAATGATTTCCATCGTTTACAATCCTTCCCGTTATCCCTGGCATCTAAATCCATTTAATCTAATAACGTCATGGTTGCTTGTATATACAGTTATTTTGTTCTAGCAGTGATCGATGTTTGTGCTAATAGTGTATGTCTTTCAGCTTACGAGTTGTGGTTCAAACAAATTATTTATGAGTTGGATTCGATTAGAGATGTTTTCAGTGAGGTACTGGAAGAATCCCAGACTCTTGAAATTTTAAAGAGGCTTAACAGAATCGTTCTCATTCTAAAGGTAAATATACAACCTTTAAATCTTCCATAGATTGGTACGTACTATGCTTTTTTTCCATACGTAGATTTAAAACTACAAAATAAAAAAAGCATGTACACTTTTCTTATGTTCGTCATCATTTATTTTGTCTGCAGTATAAGTGCCCTATGTTCATTTTGTAACAGAATACCGTAAAATAAACTCTAGAGATCTGTGCGGCATAAGTCCTAAGTCCGTCCATTTCAAAGACATATAAGAAGAAGCCTATAAAGTTTGTGTTGGATTTGGCAATTGAGTGTGTATGGTTATTTACTGGTTACGCATAAAGTAGTAAATACCAAAAACAAATAAAGCATTTTTTGCAAAATTATGAACAAGCAGCATTAAATAAAAGTGAGAAACAAAATACATTTATTGTAACAGATTTTACAGCAACAAGTATTTAAAATTTTACAGCAACAAGTATTTAAAATTAGGATGTTTGAATATTATGAATTAATTGCATCAAATTTTAAATTCGTGTCGGACATTTTGTTGACGATTCTTAAAAAAAGAATTTTTATTTCGAATCAAATTTTATTTTGAAAAGATGAAATTGGTGATGTAAACAAAATACGGTCCTTATTTTTGTTTAAATAAAAATGATAAATTTTTAGTTGTAATTTCTTTTCTCCTTATAAATTACAAAACAGGTCATTAAAACTAAAATTAAAAAAAAAATTATTAACTGCTTTCTTATAGGAATAAGATATACAGGGTGTTCTCAAAGTTGTGTCATTTATTTTAAGAGCTAATAAAACTCATAAAAAAAGTCGATTTACCAAAAATCGTCTATATAAAAGTTGTCAAATAAAGCAATTATTAACAATTATTTAAAAAAAATTGAAATTTAAAAACTTTGTAATACAAACCTGATATATTGTCATTTTCAACCACTCCGTTGTAAAAACATAAATTGTTTGTTTACTACTGATACTGGGTATGTCCTTTTTTTTGTAGTAGCACGGTTTTGAGTACGCTTTTCGATTTGAAAAGTGCTAAATAATTCGTACAGTAATGCGTGGTATTATTTTTGATTTGTGGGTGTTTTGTGCAATAAAATGAGGTTTTGAGTAGCTATACAAACTTGAATTACTCAAAAATTGTTGGATGTGGTTAAATTTTCCAATAGATTGATAATTAATTGAACACTACATGGAAATTGTGCCCATTTGACAATATAAATTATCAGTGGTGTAGAAAATACCTATTTATAAAGGGGTCACGTTGTCCTCGCCTCTACGCCACCGTTGTCCGTAACATATTGGTCTTTAGGTACTAACTGCACGTGGCAAATTTGAAATAGAAATGTTAAGGTATTTTGGAATTATCGATATTTAACGTTAACGCCCAATCTCATTAAGGAAGCATCTACTTTAATTTCTGTATGTATTTTTTGCCCTACTCTATCAGCAGTTTTTTCAATCACCATGTAAAACCTCCTGCTTTACTTTTATTACTCAATTTTTAATTATTAGATAATATTCGCTTTTGCATTATCGACCAGAAAGATTTGCATTCGCATTTGTATTCGCAAATATCGAAAATATGGAACAACCCTATTTAAAGTGTTCTCCGTCGTATTCTAAATTAGAGCGTACTGTACAAATCCAATTAGATATTTCGAATACGTTGGAAAATTCCCGCCATCATTCCTGTTTACGAGGCAGCGGCAAAAATTCTTCAACGAAGTTGCTCTTCGTGTTCAATTTCATTGAAATATGCTAGTGTTTTATTATAGATGCAGCTACAAACTACTGGATAAAACGTGAAAAATCTCGTGTAAAAGAAAATTTTTGGAATTTGCTTCCAAACACTAACTTCTCAAATTCTGTCTGCGTGAGGAGAAACCGCTATTATCAATTTCTATTCTCATTTAACATGATAGGGGTAAACTACTGTTGTTTAAGTACTGTTGTTTCAGATATGCCAGTTTGATTGGCAACTATTATCCTTTCGCTTGTACCGGAAAATATTTGGTGTCTGCTCTTCTAGCTGTACGGCTCTCTGGATTCCGGTTATACATCCTGCTTCCTGTAAATTCATAACTAAAGAGCGCAATTTTGCTTAAGGTTGTTTTTGTCAGTATATGACTGTATCATGCTATCCATAACAGTGCGTATTTCTTTTTCTCTGGGGCGCAAATAATACATTAAAACTACTAGGTCCGTTTATGCAACAGTTTCAAACTGTTTTCACACTATCGGATATGTAACCTGAGGGATTATTTCTTTATTTATCTATCTCCTGTTATGACCAGTATCATAACGTAATTAGATTGCAAAAGACTTTACTATTTACTTCTTGAAAGGGAATTAATAATTAAATTAATTCAATGGATACGTGGAACTCAGAAATGTTCAAAGAATGAATTTCAGGCACTTACCATCCATTGCTTACGTAGAATGTAATCCAGTAACTGGCTATACAGGGTGACACTGAAGTTGAAAGAACAAAAAGAAACACCAAAACTCTCCAGTAAGGGTTTTAGTAACAATAAAAACAAAACAAACAAAATAACGATGACACAACGGTCTCGAACAACATTATTAATCATTTACTCGCGATAGCGTACCGAGATTCAGGAAATGCGAGTTCCGTAGCAAAATTTGGAAAGACTTTATCCATTATTAAATTAACCCAAGACTTTAAAACTAAGTAGACTGCTCAGTGTGGAATCCAAGGAAAAACTGCCTTTTTCTCTCCTGAATTCGACACCGCGCTTCGACATACCCATTTCTTGGTTTCTGAAGTCTCGGTTCTTATCTCACTGACGGGATCCCTGAATATCGGGACGCTTTGGCATAACTATACCATGTTAATAGTTATCTAATTGACTAAATTTAAAATTGTTTGAATAAGTCTGTGATTACCTGAACTTACAAGTAACCCTACCCTTCCTCTCATGACTTCGTATAGCAACACGGGATGGATTAGTCAGTCTGATTTAATATATTCTTATAGCTTGAAAAATACGCCTAAAAACCAGCTATTTGATCGACTATTTTTTCCTCATAATATTCTAAAAATTTGTTTGAGTATCTTGGAATTCCTACGTTTTTTCGAATGTATTTCGTGCGTTATTAGAAATATTTTTCCCTTCACCATGGGCTAAACCCTTGATACCAAATGCTCGACACATAGCCCCGACGGCGACGATCTAAGTCAACTTGTTCAAAAACATTGCTAAATTTCATGAGGCCTTCTCTGAAGGACGGCTTTGCAAATTTATTACTCCCAGTTACAAAAGGCACTAGTCTGTCGACGACTTTATGGCGACGCTAAACCTACTTGAAAACCCTTCACTTTTCAATAATTAGTGTTGGCTGAAATATTTTACTGTCTGAATTGGCCCATCCGTTCCAAGAACTAATAAATAAACTACCCCGCGTCCCGGCTTTTGCTACAGATATATTCGACCACTTAAGTTGTGGTCAAATGATAGTTTCAAATCAGTCTTCGACTGCTGCTTAAACAGACCTTAATGATTAGGTGTATCTGCATCTTAACCTTGCACAATTGTATCAATAGTAGAATGTATGGCTTATAAAGCAAATTATAGAAATATGAATATTAACTATGCTTTTTCTAAATAACGCGAAAAGTACCGGAAGCTATGCCCGGTATAAGTACAGAGGGCCAGTATTACAGCACATAATGTCCCGTAGCTTTAAAAAATTGTATTAGGTACTTTCTAAATTCAATTCTACATTTTTACAATAACCATCTTTTTTAATTGAAAATAACAGTTTATGAGATGCTTCGCTTTTTTCATAGACAATATTAGTTCGCATAAACAAATATGCTGCAATAACACTAGTACTATAAACAATCAAAGGACGCAATAATTACCAGTTGCTTTGCAATCTGATACAATTGTACACTTCAGAGAAAGTACACTTCAGAGAACAATAAAAACCACAGAAAATGAATTGCGATTTAAATCACGTTAATTTTCATAAGAAGACGGTTCTGTATTTCCAGATTGTAAGCATTTATAATTAATTAAAAACAATATAAATTAAATCTTATTATCATATATTTGCATAAAATATTGCGATATGCGAAGAAGCAAATCATTATTAGCCTTAAAACAAACAGTTTTAGTTATCATTGTAATCTATTTTATTTTGTAAACTTAGATTTTTTGACACAATATCCATTTTATCCAAACAATTAAGTTTAGGACCCATGTTATACAGGACTTTTTTCTATTTATTTTGATCCATACATCACATATTCAAAGTATGGCACTGATACTGCGGACACTGACACTTTTCCTAAGAGAAGATGGAAATCATTTCGCTGAACTATTCCTCCAAAATCCCGATTTGGTAGGTACTTTAAAGAAAGAGTTAAATTCTGTGAAATGAGAACTGCTCTACAATAAGTAATTTCAAATTTATTTTGCTTTCTAGGTTCTGGTAGATCAAGTGATGATCTTGGAAACAATGACACCTTTAGACTTTATGGAATTTAGAAATTATCTACGCCCGGCTTCCGGATTTCAAAGCCTTCAGTTTAGACTTCTGGAGAACAAGCTTGGTGTCCGACAAGAGAACAGAGTGAAATATAATAAGAATTATACAAAAGTCTTTGGAAATAACGAGGTATTTACTGAGACACTGCTGACATTTTATTAATAGTTGTAGAAAATTAGTCATGTTATTTTAGCAAGAGTTGTTCTGTAAAAGATATTTATTTTCCCATAAAGTTGCTTTTAGAAGTTGTTCCATAAATTAGGTGTCAATAAAGAAATATACAGTATAGTCTAATAAGTATCACCTCTCTAAAAATTTTTTGGGATGTAGGACTTTGATTATTTTATAACGCAGTTTGTGAAAAACCTGGTTTTAAATTTATGAAATTTCTGTTTCGGTGTTAAAATATGCGAGAATTTGGAATGTCTGAAAATAAAAAATTAGGCAATTATTGCCCTGTGGATTATAAGATAATAGAGTCCGGAAATAATCTTCTTTCGTAATTTTAGATTTGATTTTTAGGCAGGTATTGGTTAATTTTTAGGCAAGTATTGGTTAATTTAATTCCGTATTGGTTAATTTAGGAGGCAGATATTGGTTAATTTTTAGGCAGGTATTGGTTAATTTTTCATCTTCAGGCATTTTTAATCAATCTCACATTTTTAAATGTCAGCAACTTAAAATTTTAAATATCTATAAAAAAATATTCTACGTTATAAATTGCTAAAATTTGAGATATGGGAATTCTAAGTGGTACCTACCAATTAAGACTAGTAGCAGTAGTAGTAGTAAAGGGGCGGCCTCAGCCTGGCAATTAGGCCACAAATGGGCCCTTTTTGCCTACCCCGCCGTCCCATCACCTATCCACTCTCTGCCTCTGACCCTCCTCGACCCTGGCCGGTCTCTCACCTCAACCTCTTGCAGCTCTTCAGCACCAAAGACTTTATGTCTTATTCTCCCAAAGGCTGCACAATGTCCCAGAAGGTGGACAGGGGTGTCCTCCCCTTCTCCCCATTTCGAGCATAGAGGGTCCTCCTCAATTCCTATTAAACTTAAATGCCTCCTAAGTCTGCAGTGACCTGTCAGAACCCCCACCATTTGGTTTAGGTCTCTTCGACTAAGGCTCAGCAGCCATCTCGTCTTGGATTTGCTAGGTCCATGTATAAAACTATGGGCCTGCTTACATCCTCTATTTCTCCTCCAATTCTGACCTAAAGTTTGATAGGCCCATTTATTGACGGCTCCATTGATGCTGCCTCGTGTGATACCTAAGATTGGTTCAGGTCCCTGGCCAGGTCCTCTGGACCCGAGACGAGCTAGTTGATCAGCCCTCTCGTTACCAGGGATACCCATATGGCCTGGGACCCAAACCAACTCTACCTCTCTTCGTCTGGCCAATGACTCTAGAGCGTATCCACATTCCTGGACAAGGGCATACCTAGTCCTCGGGGTGCTAACCACTCTGAGTGCGGCCTGACTGTCGGAGCGGATAAAAATCTTCTCCTCTACACAATTCCTTACCTTCTCCTTTCTTGCTACCATTAAAATAGCAAAAACCTCGCCCTGGAAGACTGTAGCATACATACCAATTAAGACTATGTAGCCAGATTGATTATAAAAACATCATTTAAAATAATTTTTCTAAAAATCGCTTCCAAAAAAGCGTTCAGCCAGTACATTTAGAAGGTTCTGTATATTTTAGTACATAAATTTATAAAATAAATATTTATTTAACACAATTATTGAGGTTAATTATTTCTGTATTGCTAATGATCTCAAAAGTCTTTTCTATACTTTACAGTATGTGGCGATTGGTATATAAAAATATTTCACTTTAGTTTACACTTATGAGACTTTCACAAGCAAATATTATGAAAAAGACTAATATTTCACTACAAATATTAACTAACTAGAACATTATATTAACATGGCTACGTTGTAGGATGCTACCAAGCAAATCGAAGTGTCAGAAACGGAACCGTCTCTCATGGATTTAGTCCAAAGATGGTTAGAGAGAACACCAGGATTGGAACTAGAAGGGTTTAATTTTTGGGGGAAATACCAGAAAGCAGTTGAAGTTTTGTTAGAAGAGCAAAGAATTCTAGCCGATGTGAGTAATATTACTTGAGATCTTTAGTTGTTGTACTTAGAGTTGTCATTGAGTCTTAGAGATTTGCCACATGCCTACAACATATTATTTTAAGAAATTTTTACATACATGTGGAACATACGAGTATAAACAAGAATTTTACTATTCATTTATTTAGTAATTTCATGCTTTAGGAAGAAAAGACAGAGTGCATAAGACAATACCGACTTACCGACATTGAGAAGAGAAGGGAGGTCTACGAGTCTATATTCAACCCGGAAATACATCGAGCTTTAATAGCAAGAGGCGAACGGAGGTTTTCCCACAAAGCTTTACAGGGTGCCATCATGATTACATTTTACCGGGATGAACCACGATTCAGCCAACCTCATCAAATCCTGACCCTTCTGATGGACATCGATTCCCTCATAACAAAGTGGAGATGTAAGTCTTTTTCTTTGAAATCCAAGTAGAGTTAGATTTTATTTGATAAGTCGATACATTTACCAGAAATATTACCTTATGAAACATATTTCCATTAATTACTGACGCAACTGAGATCAAAACCGTTCGTAGAGTCTTTTCTACATTCATGAGATATGAATGCAATTTATCACATCAGGTGTTAATACGGATTAATTTTAATTCTAAATAGTCTCCTTGTAACCACAGATACAAAAAAGACTAGACCCGTATTTATTTTTAAGTCAATATTCTTTTTTCGAACTTTCAGTACTAACATTGGATTTCGTTTCATTTAAAAAATTGTATTTTAATATCTTCTTGTATTCAATAGCTTTGTTCCTAATGCACTAGTTCTGGATTGCTCTAGGAACAAAGCTAATGTATCCTGTTAACGTCAAATAATAGTAAAATTAAGATATCTTCCTTCCGGAAGTTTTACGTAATGTGAAATGTAACTTTCGGCATTATTTTTAGACAATCACGTTCTTATGGTACAAAGAATGATAGGGTCATCCCAACTGGGCACAGGAGGGTCTTCGGGGTACCAGTATTTAAGATCAACCTTAAGGTGAGGGCAATCATCATTTTTAATTGTAATAGTGGTTTTAAAGCTTTGACGACCCGTGCTCTTCTTTGCCATGCCAACTACCATGTTCCTTTCGTTATACCGTGCCTATGTAACAACAAAAACCGAAATCCTTAGTAGGGGGTCCAAGGAGTTTTGAAAGCGGGGCCGCCCCTTCAGAGCCTAGCCCGAGAACAATAGAAACAGATCAAAGATTCTTAGCTAAGATTTAAGTCTGGCGATGACCAGGTACATAGATCACGGAACAATTACTTATTATTAATAATAAGTAAATATATATATAAAATTGCATTTTTTTTTATAATTCATAAAATAAATTCGTATGAATGTATGTCATAAACAGTTGAGTTTTTGAAATACAGATCGATCAAAGTTTTTGACAAATGCAACAATTATGCAAATATATCTGAAAATGTTTGACATAAACTGATGAAACTGAAGCTAACGATTTAACTAGTAGAAATACAAAGTCATTGAATTTGTATATGATTGTGTCAACCACTGACGGAAATACTGCGAGACATCCACAAGAAGAATCAAAGAACTTTTTTTACTATTGTATTTAACTTTTGAATAAATGAATATTTAAATACAAACTCATACAATGTCTTTAATAAATAAACTACTGGTAAATAAGATGGTCAAATATCAAATAAACCATAAATTTTTCTTATAAAAGATTAAAAGTTATCGACAATTTTAGATAAATATAATTAGTCAAACACCGTATAAATCAAGTTTTGTTTTTATAATTTTACTATTGCTGCTGATAAATAGATTTCATATCAAATAAACTGTAAGAAAAAATAAGTCATTTGTTATGTGCATCTTATAATAATGAAATATATAACATACAAAGTATCCTAATATTTCATGGAAATCAATAAAGCCCAATAAATCGACTAAACAAATTTTACAGTTCTTACGATATTTGGCCGCCAATGTCTCTCTACCTCAGGTGTCGAATGCGATTAATTCGAAAAAAGTGACGCATAGGTCTTCTTGGAATTGTATCTCAACAAATATCGTACGGACTGTACAAAGATTTAAAATTATTTGTGAAGTGTTAGAGGGTATCAACGTTGAAAAAGATTTTTTTTATACATATTTTCAAACAATTTCAAAAGCTTTGTTTGCACCTTACGCGTAATCGAAACACGAAATTATCTAGAACATATGACAACACTTTATATTCACATTTATATTCTTTTAATCGATTATTTAAAAATTGACAATTAATTAACTATTAACAAAAGTTATAGATTAAAAGTGAAAGATTTATTACAACTATAAGGTTAATATTTTAGGATAAAAAATTAAAAGTTTAATGGATAATTTAGAGAATGATTATGATAATCAAATTTTTCAATTATAGAAATGATTAATTTAATGTTAACAGTGTTTGAGATAGCGAATTATTTCATTAAATTGTAGTGTAAACAATTTTTATGGCGCAATAATATACAGTCAGTTACGTTCAAATTAGAAATCAACAGCAAATCTAACAAAAAACATTAAAAATAATAAAATAACTTACATTCTTTCAAAACTGCAGTATGAATTACATATATATTTTTTATTGTTTATCTATTAGTACTATTTATTACCCTCAAGCTAAAATATTGACACGCTTTTGTAACCTGAGGGGTTATTTCTTTAATTATCTACCTATTATTAATTATCTATTTAATGCTCGAAAGAGTTACTATTCAATTCTCGAAAGGGAGTTTATTTAGTTATCGTTATACTTTAATTAACACGTGGGAACTTAGAAATGTTGTATGTTCAGAAAATTACTTCCAAGCACTTACCCTTTCATTGCTTACGTGGGTAGCACTGAAGTTGGAGAAACAAAAGGAAACACAAAACTTCCAGGAAGGGTTTTATTAACAATAAACAAAACAAACATTATTAATTAATTGATTCAATCGCGACAGCGTACCGAGATTCAGGGTATGCGCGCTCTATGCAAAATTTAGAAAAACTATAAAAATTAATTAATTAGCCCGAGACTTTAAATTTAATAATTAGTCTGCTCAATGTGAAACTTAGGAACGAACTGCCGTTTTCTTGCAGATCCTTCTCGAATTCCACAATTCGCTTTGACCACGACCATTTCTTGGGTCCAGAAGTTTCGGTTCTTATCTTATTGGCGGGGACCTGAATATCGGGATGCTTTAATAATTATCTAATTGACTGAATTTACATTTATAACAATAATTATATGACTTACTAGTAACCCTAGCCTTCCCCTATGACTCCGCGTAGCAATTACGGGGACGGATTACTCGCTCTCATTTAATCTACTCTTATAGCTAGGAAAAATCCGTCAAAAAAACCCAGCTTCTTAGGTATACTCTCTTTTCGAATTACTATCTATTTACAATATTAAATTGGAACCCCTACGCTCTTTTCGCGGTTTGGCGCGTTATTAAAAAGATGGGGTTCTACGCGGCGTCTCCTAGACCATATGGCCCTGACTCTAAGCGAACTTGTTACAAATATTGATACATTTTGTGAAGCCTTCCCCGAAGGTCGGTCTTGTCGATCTACTACTTGAAAGCCCTCAACTTTCGATAATTTGTGTTGACAAAAGTATTTTACTTTATGCCCATCCGTTCTGGGAACTAATAAATAAATGACCGCGCTTTTGTTACACTTTGATGGGGCCTAAGAAAATTTTAATTAAAATATCTTAAAACCGATTAAATTCTCATAATAGATAGTGTTTTGAAGTGGATACTACTAGGACAATAATAAACACAGACAGATACACAAAAAAAATGGTCGTACCCATATACCAATCTGTCTTGGGAAACGTCCCATAAATCTCAGTATTTTTTAAATTGCCAAAAACCACCCTTAGATGCAGACATAACTTTGGATTCAGTAGGACTCATAGTATATTTTGAGTCTTCAAAGATTCACTTGAAATCTAAAAATCAGATAAAATTTTACATTTAGCAGATTCAAGTAACAAATTGATACTACAAATTTATAGTTCGGAGACAATGAGATTCACGCACCCTAAGTAGCAGACAAGTGAGTGACTCAACAGACAATACAATCCACACTCAATACTACAGATGTATTCTGGACATAAAAGGACAAAATGAGTTCTGTAAGTCTGCAGTTTTTGACGACCACTAAAAAACCCTACTCACCGAAGCCATTAAATCTATTACAATTTTACTTGGTGGATTTCTATCTGCCAAAATCTGAAATTTCTAAAGACTCAGAGTCAGTTATAAAGCTACACCTAAAGGCTATATCTATAAGTGGTTATTAGATATAATTTTTCCTTTTGTGTCGCTTTTCCTTTCTTTTAATTATTTTTTTCTCAGTTTTTGTCTTTCATACGTATCTCTTTGTAACGCATTCGAAACTGCCTTCAGAGATCAAGATTGCAGAAATACTGCTATACAGACCCTCATTCAAAGAGGAACACGCTAAATGTAAAGGTCCAGTAGATTTGGAGTTTTGGAGGGAAGGCATAATATCCACCAACTCGGTGTTTACAGGACTGAGTTTTGTCCTTCTCTGTCCAAGCTACGTATTCAGTATTGAGGCAATGGATTGTAGTGTATGTAGATCATTAACTAAGCTGACATCATTCAATTTTAGCCAATCTTTATATTTTAAGGGTAGCTTTAGGATGTTCAACCGAAGTCGAAGAGTTTCAAAGGTTGTTTGAGTCTTTTTTTGGTGTAATCTACTTTAATTTTATTTTTAGAAATATTATTTAAAATACCATTTACAGTGATCGGTACAAGGTGTTCGTCGATCTTTTCAACCTATCCACATTCTTAATACCAAGATCTTATATACCTCCGCTCACCCCTGCCATGCGAAGCCACCTGTGTCATTGGGTAAATGAAAGGCATATCCCGTCAAAAACAGCAAATGTTGAAAATGGAAAACTAGTGGAAAATGGGAAAGTGATGGAAAATGGAATAATTGCTGAAAATGGTAAACATGAATATGCAGATTCATTGTAACAGTAATTTATTATTGTTTACTGAATATTGTACATACGATAAATAAAATTTATTATATTTGTTAAAGTATTTGTTCTTATTAGTACAATATCTAAAAAAAATGAGTGAAAACTCTACTGTAAAAAACGATATAAAAGGATTTAAATCTATGGCATTTTAAGATATTCACCTGAGATTGCACAGACGTGTATTTTATGCCGATACATTTTTCGTGTGATGTTAGTTAAAAAATAAGTGATCAGTTATAGAAACAATTTTTAAGTTGGCTATCATTAGAATTCAACCCTTTACAAATTAGTTAATAGGAAGTCACTCAAAAGTTTTTATAAACAAATGAAAATATAAATTTGAAGGCACTTGTAAAAATTAATTAATATTTAAAATTACTTAATATTTTCAATTACTTAAATTACTTCAGTTACTTAATATTATTAATTTCTTATAATTATTTACAAATAGTACAAGCTTCTTTACACGATTAATATTTTGGTATAGGATAAAAGTGTATGCAAAATTCAATGTCTTAAAAGAAAACGAAGTTATTACAACATATTTTTTTAATCTGAAACTTCGACATCTCCTATGTTGGAAAAGAGGTAAGTTCCATTATTTTCCTTTAAAGAATCTATGGTTCGGTTTACTTTTTTGTAATATTCAATATCAACTAAATTTGCTATAGGTACTTTATTTTTTCTTCGATCATATTTTTGCCACGCAAAAGAGACTTTCGATTTTTATTTTTGAAAACAATTGAGTATATGTTAATTAACTGATATAAAATATCTACCTACATAATTTTTTTTATTAGGTACAAGTATAAAATTTAAAACATGGTAATATCCAGATGAATGTTTACCTATTAAGTTGTTACCAGTTTACTTGTAAGGTAAGTATCAGCAGAAGTATAGTGTAAATACTATGTGAAATCACTTCACAAATTTTAAATATGTGTAATTTAAATATCAATATTTCGTAAAATCAAACAATATTAATGCTGGGGTTATTTCTTGCATTATTGAGCCACTGGTTTTGGAGAACATGTCAAAAGATATTTTACGTAGATTGGGGTTTGGGATACTCGTTAAAAAATTAAAGAAAAAATTTGCTGAATTGGCATACAAATATGTCAATCAGCGGCAAATGTACGAGAAGGTCCTTTCTTTCCAGAAAACCCCTGCGCCACTGAATTTTTTGGAAATTCAATCAGTGCATTTGACTCGTAATAGTATTTATTTTTTAGTATTTATTTTTAAAGGAAAAAAGGATTTTTCATTTTGTGAAACTGTTTATATAATAATTTTTCTTTTTTGAGCTTTTTCTTTCAAATACAATTTAGAATCAAATGCCCCTAACGAATTTCAAAAAACTCAGTGGCGTAAAAATTGTTGAGATTTCCAAAAGCAGTGGTTCCTAGTATCTATGCCACTGGTTCACATATTGTATACCAATTCATCAAATTTTTGTCTTTAATTAGATATAGGACTGTCTCGAGTATCTCCAGAGATATTTGAAATGTTGCGATATTTTTTTCCTTCAACACCCCGTATCTTCGAAATGAGTGTCTTTAGTCCTTTGGTTTATTAGAACAAATTGGCCTAAAATGAACCAAGGAACACGCTCCTGAGTTTACATTGCTTAAAATGCATTCTGTACATTTATGAGTATCGTTATATTTAACGATGTACCCTTGGTTTTTTTTCTTTGAGTATAGAAATCAGTTGGGAAAGGTCAACAGAAGTGTCGCAGTAAGAACGCATTTGTCCCGTCTTGGCCACTGGTGCTTTAGCGATCTAAACTTTTTTTATAACTTCCTAATCTTAGAGGATCCCTAGAATACTTTCTTTCGATATCTTTTTTTCGATTCCCCTAGATTATAGGATGGATAGAGTGCTTATAACAAGGTTTTCGACCCAACGTTAATGACATACGACGAATTTTTTTATCCATCGGATACCAAAAAAAAAACCTGGAACGTGAAAGACTCAATTAAATTAATAGCGTTTGAATCTCATTTTACCAGATTTAAATTCATAGATATAGGACAAATGAACTTGGCGAACTTCGTGTTTATAGTAACTGCTATTTTCTGAAGTTATGTACTGTGTTGTACGAAAATTTGTTTGTAAATTTATTAAAATATTTTTTACGGGAAATTATAATACAGGTGTAATTTCTAACCTACTGTTGGTAATTACAATAATGATTAACAAATGATGCATTACTTGAAAATTGATAAAAATATATTGAATTTAATGAAGTTAATGTTTCCTTACAAAGTCTCTAATGAAATGAGTACGTAGAATTGGAAAATTTGCTTACCTATGCAGGTATTATTTAAGTAGGTCGACAAACCCATAGGCTATAAAAACATGGGGTTCCAAATCTATAAGCTTTCGAGATAGAGGGCGATGGAATTTGAAAAAAAAATATGATTTCTAAAATGTTCGATTACTCTTTTTTACTTACATTACTGTTACTTGACTTTTACGTATTACAATTTTAAACAGAATGTATCGAAGATACATGAGAACGTTACAAAAGGAAAAATAATCACTAAAAATTCCTGTATTGAATTACTGCAGCTCTTGGGTTTAGTACTGTAGTATTATAACTGAGTCAATTTCCTCTATTCAAAACAAAACAATTCTTTTTTTAACACTAAATGTCTATTCTTCCACATCAGTCAAAAGACCGTAACGCTTCTGATCCGGGACAATACAGTCACAGAGACACTAGCGCCTGATCAAAACGTACGAGGTTTGATCAAAAAGTAACGGGAATGTTCAAATTGGGCGTGTTGTATTTTGTTTATCTAGTTGATTCTCTTTTCTGTGTATTAGTAGCACTGTCATTAAAGTACCAGGCGTCGCGAAAATTGCGAATATATGTGCTCAGCCTCGAAAATTGAATAATTCTAAATATTTCGAATTTTCACCACCAATGACGGCGGTGATAACATTTTTACCAGTAAGGTATTGTATTAGCCATGTGTGAATCTCTTTCGACGCCAATATCCGATATATATGTTTTCAGCCACCCTTGTGATACGGCAACCCTATTCTCCGGACATGACCCCTGTGACTTTTCCTATTTTCCGAACTTAAAAAGATCTCAAAAGAAAACGTCTTTCAACCGTGGATGAGATAAAGGCAAATTCGCAAACCGTGCTCAAGACAGTACATAGGGAGGCGTTTCACCAGTGTTTTTCAAACTGGAAATTTCATTGTCATGAGTGTAAAATATCACAGGAGATGCGGACTTTGAAGGGGATGGGATAAAAATTGAAGATTAATATTACTTTATGAGAAAATTAACAATTAACAGAGTCGGTCAGGTTCAGTTTACTGATCGTCATGATGAAGTTTTCAAGAGAAGAATTAATGTCATTATTATAATTTTAGACGAGGAAGAGCCAAAGAAACGAAAATGGGTCTATGAAGCATGGAAAAAAGAGAAATTAAAGGAGAATTTGTCTGTATTGAGGATGGAACCAATTTTTTTCAATATATCATCTGAATGTTGCTTTAACATTTTACTGCGCAAACTGTTACTATTTTTAGAAAACCAAAACACCCACTAGATAAAATCCAAATCCGATACACGTCAAAAGGTACCTAAAATATCGTCGGAAAGAATTCCAAAACTTTCGAATAGACGACGACAGAGGAACTAACGGTTAGAATTAGTAGCGACACCTGCTCAGTGTACCTAGCTCGTGTATATTATTCCCATGTATTTAAAAATATGGAAATAGTATATTTCATGACTGATGCTTATAAAACTATTCCGAACTGAACCGTTTCGGGACTTATGTGGACCTATGTGTATGAATAGACCTTAAATTGCGGACCTCCGTGGTATATTCGTAAAATACTTTTTTTATGAACGGAGTGAGATTTTTCTCGCAAACAGTGGATGCTGTACCAAACTGATTCCTGTTCAGCGGATTCGAAAATATGGAAGTAGGGCTATGGAATCCAGTCTGTGAACTAGCTTCTCCCATGACGTTACAGTCCTTAAATCTATTCGCAAATAACCCGGTTTTGAGAATTTGGGAGCATTATCTTGAAAATGGTGTACGGCGTCTACTTCAGATTAGTATTCAGCAGGTCCAAAAATACGAAAATAACATCTGATCAAATGAATAGACTACTTTTGTTGTGTAGACAGGTTATCATTTATACAAGAAAAATATTCCTAATCTTGATAAGAAAATTGAAAACATGATTTGAACTATTTGTAATCAAAATATAAAATAATGCTGTCGGAATTGCTTATGCAAAATGAAAATTATACTAAATATATTTATAGCATTTAAAATAATCTAAGGATGTTACATTTTCGTAGTACGCAATGTCATATTACAATCTCAAATAGAAATCGAAATAGTGAGAAGCTTTTAGTGCCCTAAGGTAATCGTCTATTTTACATATTGAATAATTCAATCCTGTTTGGGTACGATGCATATTAAATCCACAACTTATTAGTTCAATTGTTACAAGAAATATGATAAAATCGCTACTGATATCTTAAGTAGATAAGTAACAAATAATAAATTAAACCCAACATTTAAAAATTACATTTAATTGTTCATAAGGCGCAAATTCATAACATTTTAGTAATAAAAATATTTTTTTGGTTACTGGCATTTTCCAAGCATCGAACTTCGATATATTTCTATTAATAAGTAAAAACGCCATGATATTGTGTGCGATAACGGTGATAATTATGTACATTTAATTGTTTACGGCATTAAAGCTAAAACATAATACATAAAATTAAGTAGATATGAACTAAAAAATAATATTTTTATTGTAAATGTAGTGTCTTTTGATGTATAATTGTGTGTAATTATGTCGAGCGTAGTTAGTGCTAAAAAAACAGCAAATAATTCACACTATACTACCAAAAAAAATAGTAAATAATAAAACATTTTATTCCTACTGGAATAAATACAACCCCGAGTCCGAGAACCATGTCGGACCAGCTTGGAAGTAGATTATTTAATTATCTAATTATCAGTAGGTGTCGAACGGTCGTCTTCAGATTAAGATATTTTATCACCGCCGCAAATAAGTTTCGCTGAAACAAAGGTAGAAACATACCTGATGATGCGAGCTATAACGGATCCCATCCAGATTGTGGAACCGATGGTAACGATGCGTAAAAGAATTTACGTGTTTCACAATGATATAATGACATAAATCTTATAATCAATACTCATTGTTCACTTTGGTGAAAAAAGCACACTACCAAAGACATTTTTTAAATAACTGCGAACTGGTTCATCAGATCTAAATTCAACTCGGTACAGATTTACGATAAACTTAAGGGGAAATAATTATTTCTCATTTACAGAGACGCACGGGGTAAGTGTGGGTTATTTTATTTTATCAAATGGTCCTTCGGATTTTTGGTAAAATTATTATTTTTCTGAAAAAGGATCTTAAAAAGATAAAAAAGGTACTCTTGTTCGATATTGATAATCTACACCGTTTTTGAGACAATTGACTATTGTCAATACAGGGTGTTTGGTAAGTTGATGCATTCCTTGCAGGAGGTACCGCTCAGAATATTTTAATGAAATTTTACAGGTTTTGACAGTTAATAACAATACATGTTTCAAGATAAAAATATCGTTTTCAGTTTCACCAGTGGCGTGGACACAGGCACATATCTGGATATTTTTAAAGAAAAAAATGATACGCCACTGATTTTTCTTAAAATAAAAATTATTTTTGAATTCCTTATTAACACATACATTAATCACAATTATTGAGTATCTTTACACATTTGCTTTACAAAACAGGAAAAGTAAATTTTCTGATATATACATGTTCTCCGTGATCTTTCATTGCGAAAAATTAAAGGAAGTTGTTCCAGTTTAGCGTTACGCTTCGTCACTTCCTGGATGGATCTACCTGTTCTATCATTATCTCACTAAAAATGTGCTGTCCTTAATCGGTGTATCGAAGAAAAGGTGAACTATAGTTAGTATAGCTAACAAAATATTGGTAAGAGTTAAAAAAATATGTAAATTTACAAGATTTTATTATTTTTTAAAGAAAATCGTTGTATACACAATAAACAACAGTATTACATTCAACAAACGCTGCTATCAAATCCTTAACACATATTTCCAATTTGAACAGTTAGTAAGCACTACAACAACAATTACGCTTGTTCAGACAATCTATTTGTCCATTTCGTCTCCATATTCATCTCACTGCCGGTCAAGCCGAATTTTCTCGACTCTCTAAGGTCCTTGAAGCACTCAAACAGGTTTAGAAACGACTTCCTGAAGCCGCAATTCATAAAACAGTAAGTGATGGGGTTGCAACAACTGGAGGTGAAAGCCAAAAGTTGGAAAAAACTTATTCCCGTGTAGCCGATGTTGTTGTAGATGATGGAGGCGTCGAACAGAGCTATGGTGTTGACGACGTACAAAGGAGTCCAGCAAATGAAGAACTCTAGTACCACGGCGAAGAGCATCTTGATGACTCGCTTTTTGTTCAGCAGGCTCCGTTCTGCGTTCGTTCTGCGCAGGCCTGGGGTCTGCCTTCTGGAGCCGTTAACGGGGCTGTTGGAGTCTTCCGATAAGTTCTGCTGCAACTGGTGCCTGCTCGAGAATTGGCGCGAGGAGTTTTTGTAGCTTAGGCGCGTGGAGCTCCTGCCTTGGAGGTTTATGTAGACGCTGACCGCGTTGTGAACTGAAATATAAAATGTGATAATTGAATTAATTACAAGTTAAACTTATATTATAATACCATACAGGGCGAATCGGGAGGATTGCACCAAACTCCAGGAATACATTCTACACCTCAAAATAATATTGAAAAACTCAAATATTTTTATGCGATTTTAATTTTTTTTCAAGTTATAGCGTAATTACAAATCGTAAAAATTTGAAATCAGGGTATGTCATGCTTCAAGTTCAAAAGTAGGATTAAAGTACCAAGAAGTTATTCCAATTTAGAGTATGCTGTTGAAGAATATCGCCTAAGGTTTCCACATCACAGAAGTCCTGATAAAAATCAGAGTTCTCAACAAACTGTGCGAACCCGGAAAGATTCCCAATAATCCCAATGCTGAACGAGTTCATCGACAAGGTTTAGAAGAAGTAGAAAATATTATAGGTTTAGTAGATGATGATGCAATTACCAACTCACGAAGAAATACTACTCAATTGGGCATTCCAGAAAAAAACTGTAACGAAGTGATTTTCCGACACCCCACATTTGTCTTCTTTTTATTTAATTGTATTAATAAGTATAGTTTACCGCATCGTCATTGTTTATGGCATTTCAAACGCCTCCTGAATTTAACCCGTCACCGCGTAGCGCCAAGCCGATGGCCTGCTAACTCACACCGCGTACCACAGTCTTCCGCCAGCCAGCGTAGGGACCAGTCGTGCCGAGCTCAGCCTGCCGTCCAGCCAGCGATACGACACCACCGCATGAGTAAGAATTTTACAAGTCCCTCTTAGGAGAACCACGCAGTCGCTGCCGAAGCGTCACCGGGACCTATAAATTAAGCCGCCGTCAGAGATTCAGTTCACCACGAGGCATAGTAGAGTCCAGTCGAGCCGTCAGCCGTTCCAGTAAGACCTACGTCACCAGAAATAAATTGTTAAGATTTCGCTAAGTCCAGCCTGAGGAAACTGCGCAGCCGCCAGGATTTGCCGTACGAATACAGCAGACAGGCTGCATTCGAAGTAGGGATGGGCGGTTATTGAAAAATAACCGGTTATCAGTTAACCGGTTATTGAAAAATAACCGGTTATTTTTCTTAGTCGGTTAAACCTGAATCGGTTAACCTCTACCTAAAAACCGGTTATTGAAATAACCGGCTTTAAATTTTTGTGACTGCTCTAATTTATCTCTGTATTAAAAAACTGTGTAGTCATGTATTTATATTTTTTTACTTTTATTCAAACACCAAGCAGTGCTTATATTTATTTTTTAAAACTTTATCAAATGGTTAGGTTTTCATATCAAGGAGAAATAAAACATTGCTTTGACAGCTGAAATTTATTGTTATTTTGACACTTCATAATGACCAATATGTTTTGTCCCGTCAAGGAAGCGTAATTAGGGTAGTCCGACCCACAGACCACTAAATAGAATGTCCGGCCGACGATGGCTTAAGTCTGATCACAGCAAAATAAATATTTATTTATTTTATCTATGCTGTGGTCTGATCTACTGTCAAGTTTAGGGATAGAGCACAATATACTTTAATCGTATAGTGAGCTAGAGCTAATTCACTCGGTCTTGGTAAAATAACCGGCACGCGGTTTTTGACATAAATAATCGGTTATCAGGTTAAACCGAAGTCGGGAAATAACCGGTTTTTGACCGGTTAACCGACACACAATAATCGGTTATTCATTTAACCGGTTATTTTTGCCCATCCCTAATTCGAAGGAGTAGTCTACCAGGAACCGTTGTAGCAGTCAGTCCAGTCCGAAGACCGCTGAAGTAAGTTAGGTTCCGCGCATATTCAATGCGCAAGTCTCTTGAGGTGACCAGAGACCTGACGAGATAATTGTACTGCAGAGTTAGTCTTGTTCCAGCATTCCGACCGAACAAACGTGCCCAGGAAGAGAAGTGAGTCAAGGTTTAGGGAACATAGGTAAATACTTGGCTGCTGTCCGTTATACTAATCATATCTTGTCTTTTCAGTTATCCGCCGTCCTACGACAAGGAAGGGTGCACTGTTGTCACTGTCCGGTACATTCGACCTAACTGCGCGCTCTGCTGATAAAATGTCGTGTCCCATTTCCTTTCTGTTCTATGAGTGGAGACGCAGGTCGTAGTTAATCTTATTTCTCTTTCAGGTACGACGTGGTTGGGTGTACTGTTGTCTCTTTCCGGTACACTTAACCTAACTGCGCGTTCGGCTGATAGGATGTTGTCATCCTTTCCTCCTTTTCTGTCCTATGAGTTGAAACGCAGGTCGTAATTAATCCTCCTTTCTTTCAGAGTTTCTGCCAGCCGCCTGCCAGGATTAAGGAGCCCCGCTGTTACTGTTTTATTGCTTTTGTGTAGCGATAGTAGCCAAGTCTAGTCAATAGTTATTGTTTGTAGCTTTGCTTAATCGCTTCCTTCTTTCTGGTATCTGTACTACCGCTTACCGCATTAACCGTTTGCCTGTTTCACTGTTCCGCTAACTCTGCTGTGCTTTGCTTTCGTCAGGTCACCGCTCAACACCGCACCGTTATTTTACCGTTGTCCGTAGTCACCTCCTGTATATAGCCGTAGCCGTTTGTCACTGTTTAGCGATAGATTTAGAGTAGCATAGTGTACATAGGTAGAATTGGACTATAAATAAATGTAAATATATACCAATTTGTGGTCTTTTATTCCTGTGTGAAGTCTAACTCTCTCTAGACCCTCTGGACATACCGTGTCTTCACTGTAGCCGCCCGCGTAGTGGTGTTTCTGCACTTTAAACAGAAACTGGCGCCCGAGGTAACCGCCGCCGCTCAGGCGTCATAGTGACGAACGACGAAAATACGACGTCACAAAACTAACAAAAACCCTCCAGAGCAAGGCTTATATCTGTGCCATGTACAGAGAATACAACACCTACCACCGGAAGATTATAAGCGTATCGAGTTTTGTAGATGGATCAATAATAAATCATCTTGTTGTATCCCACATACTTTTTATGAATGAAGCAACATTCACCCGTGATAATTAATACTCGGAACTTTCATGTATGGTCAAATGAAAATCCCCACGCAACACTCGAAAGTAGTATTCAGCACAGGTTTTCGGTAAACGTGTGGTGTGGTATGATCCATAGTTATCTAATTGGCCCTTTCATTTTGTAGTATCGACTCACAGGAGACCACTACTTGAATTTTTTACAAAACGAATTACAAATACCACTAGAGGATGTTCCAATAAATATGAGAATGTGAATGTACTACCAGCAGGATGGAGCTCCTGCACATTTAGCTCGTCCAATCTACATTTGAAAGACATTGGTAGTCCTATTAGTTGGCCTCCAAGATCTCTACATCTCACAGCACTAGACTAGCGTTTATGGAGCTTTTTTAAGGAAAGACATGCAGCAATCAGGAGACACCCTTTGTAGACGAAGCAGAAAGTATTTAGAGGTTAATGATGGTGTTTTTAAACATTTAGCTAAAGAACGCCATGATTAATAGAATGTCAATAATTTTTTTTATTTAAATGAAAATCGCATAACATTTGAGTTTTTTTATTATTTTGATTTGCAGAATCCATAGAGTATGCTGCGATTCTCCTGACTCACCCTGTAGACAGTGATACAGTAATCTATTGATGCAAAACGTTTTATACGGGATGTTTTATTATACGACGATCAAGATTGAGATCTTGAATGTAGAGAGTGTCAAAATGTTAATTTTGGCAACAGTTCTGGAATTATCTTACCAATCAAGTTTAAAATCTCAGCAGTTACATATTTCGGCTCATGTTTAAAAAGTATTTACTTACATTTCTATTAAGAAATATATAGTGCGGAACAGCTAAATGGAATAAATTCACTATCTGAATTATTGTGCATATTTATAAAAAATTCCGAGATACGTCGATTTTGGATTCTGAAATGACATCCTTAAATTCTAGTGGGAGTTACAACCCCTAATTTTTTTAATTTGAACTGGGGGCTTTTGATACCTCATTTGGAAGATCTTTTCATTATCTATTCAAAAATGCTATATACGCACATAAAAAAAACTTTCAATGCAATGAGTAACGGTACCAATTTTGATGTACTGCTTGAGTCTGAAGCAAACCCACATATCGACAAGCAGCTTCAGCGCTGAATGTTGAAAGATCATTTCATTCTGTATTAAAAAATGCTATGGTTTTCATATTTATTGCAAAAATTAAGGGAGTAAATAATAAATAATAATAATAATTAAGGGAGTAAATAATAATAATAAGGGAATAAATGGGAGTAAAAAAAATAATTCATCTGCTTGAACATTCCTTTGAACATTTTTTTCAGCACCTTAATCATAGATAAACGTTCTTCCACATCTGAGGTGTGACCGACAAGGCAACCGTTACTTTTCTTCTCAAGTCAGCTATATCGTGCTGCTTAATTTTGTATACCATATCCTTGACTATAAGTCAAAGACCATACTTTTCACATATACCCATAGAAATAAATCTAAGGATGTAAGATCAGGATAATGTAGTGGCCATTCTAGTGATCCTCGCCTCTTTATCCACCGATCTGAAAATGTTAAGTCAAGGTATTGCCGGACATTGATTCGGTAATGTGGAGGTGCTCCATCCTGCTGGAACCATCAATGGAAGGGACCAACAACATGGTCTCCAAACATTAACTTTCAGGATTTTGAGTATGTAATTCTCTCATCCAGTGAGTACTTTAATTAGCCCAATAGCGACAGTTTTGACGATTAGCATAGCCGTGAAGAGTAAAAGTGAATTCATCAGAAAACAAAACATTTTCTAATTGAACAACATTGTTATGTCTACGTTCTTCTATCAAAATCATCCTCGTTAAGTTCCTGAGCGTATTGGAAGCTTTATTTTTATCTGCGTCCATTTTCGCGAAATTTCTTTTCAATTTCGCTAGTTGTAACTTGGGTTATAGGTGGCAAATCAGAATTTTTTTCTTGAAATAGACAAGCAACTTCGGCCTGTTATCGCATTCTTTCTCCGTAACCAAATGTCTAATAATAAATTGTTATTTTATGTATTTCCGTTAAATAAACCATGTTCAGGAATTGCAATTAGCAAAACAGTGACAACTGTCAATTTATAACAAGTAACTACGACGTTTTTAATAGAACTGGCAATGAAGAATTTTGATAAGTTTCTTTGTCTTCTTTTTAGTTGATAATGTTAAAAAATAACTGAAATATTGTTTTGTCTGCCTGCAAGAACAAGACGCTCCAAGTTTTTATGTTTTTGTTTGTTGTAACGAATTTCGTCAAGCAGACCGTTAACTTTTGCAATAAATACCGTGACATTTTTAAATAGAGAATGAAAAGATCTTTCAAATGAGGTATCGCAAGCCCCTATTTCCTATTTAAAAATTTAAGGATTGCAACTGAAGGGGGTTGAATTTAGGGATAAAATTTTTACGTTGCAGGAACTCTTTTCAGAATCCAAAATCGACGTGTCTCGGGATCTTCTATAAATATACATAATAATTGAGATACTGAATTTATCCATTTGTCTGTTCCACACTGTAAATTTTACAGTGTGGAACAGTAAACAAATACATTTTTTTAATCTTAGCAAATGAAGTCAAACAATGTTCTTCGATAGCACAAATGTAGGTATGCAAAATATATCTAACCTACAGACAAGACTCCTAATTACAGACATTGCGGAAAACAATTACATATGGGCAATGTCCCAACTAGAACAAAACAGCGAGTAATAAATTATTATTATCCAAAATAAAAACTAAAAATGACACGTCTAAATAAAATTAATACATGAACATACACGCTGATATACTGAAGTTCTTAAATAATGCAAACATTCAGAGAAATATTCTGTATTCTTATTGTCTTACTATCACCCTTGACAAAGATTAATTACGTAAAAAACAGCGATTTTGTAATTTCTAATATTTTTAGAGGTAAGTATCCCATTCAATTTCAAAATTCAGAAATTAATGAAACCTTACATATAAAGTTTAATAGTAATGGAATGGCTTTTGACACTGCAATATTTGAAATATTATACGGGTTAATATTGTTTTTGAAAGAGACACATATTTGAGCACTTTTTTGTAACAAAATAAAAATAATATTTGTTCAATATTCATTAATCCATGTCAAACTATAAAAATCAAAATCTAAAAAGATTTTCCTCTTGTATACGCCACACTTGTAAGACTAATTGTTACAACTGAGAAGTAAAAACAGTTTTCCTTCACTTCTACTGATTAATGGCACACATTTTTATAACGGAGTATTTTATCCCCAGACCTTAAAAGCGAACTGATGAAAGAAATGGCATAAAATGGAATTAAATCGATGACACAATTTTGTATAATAGCTTTTATAAATTCAGCCCTACAGGATCTATAAAAAATGTTTGTTTATCTGAGTAATGGTTATGAAGGTCTGTCAAGTCTTTAAAACGGTGGAAATATAAAGAAAATATCTCCGATATCTGATTAAATAAGGGAATAGAAAGAAAAAATAATATTAAAGAACTCGAAGTTGAAATATTTTGTTGATGGAAATTCTGAGTATCAATTAAGAAACATTAAATTAAATGTTATTAAAAGGAGGGATTTTATACTTATATGTTTCTCCGTATTGACGTTCTTTTATTGTTGAGCTTTTAGGAAGACGTTCTTCATAAAAATTTTGATTAATCTTATATATTTTCACAGTATGGTCAAAGTTATAGTAAGCTAATTTAGTTTTTATGCGAAAAATATTGTAAAAACTATTTTCATTAATAGAGAATATTTAAGTTTGTTAGGAGAACTTAAATAGTATACCTAGAAACATTTCAAAAAAAACAAAAAAATTGACATCACAATATATTTTGTTAAAAAACTTTCACATCTAGAAATAAATATATTATACGAGGGTTTCAAAAAAAAAATACCCGACTAGTATGAAATTTATTTTACAGTACCATATAAAATAATCTTCTCAACAAAGATTAGAAAAGAGAAAGGTATCTATTTTCACCATTTGTTAATAAGCTACTTTTTGAAACTTGCAAAATTAACAAGAGATATATTTTGGCTGAACAATATCTGGCAGTTAACCTTTAAACAAAAAACATGTTATCATAGGCAATTTCAATGTAACCGCTGTACAATTATTTTTTTTAAGGTTTCACTTATCTCTTAAGTAACATTAATCCATCATCTGGAAAATAAAACCCAATAAAAGTTTAATAAAATACAAACAGTGCTTCCTTTGAAGTTAAAGTGTACTTAGTAAGCAATTACTGTTGTCTTTCAATCACTTTTTTAGGCATCAAAAATAGATTTAGAACGTGGAAAGTATTAAAGACGTTAGTCGTTTATTTTGAAAGCAGTACAAATTGTTGCTTTGGAACTATAATATTTTTAATATTTAGACGGTCATTTTTCTTTTCTGCAGCAGCATTTAGACTAGAATTTTAGGAACTTAATAAAAAGCGTAAAATAAATAATTTAAAATCTATTATGTGCAACACTAGTGAATACGATTGATTATTTTTTGAAAATTTGATAATATTTCAGGTAACATTATATTTTAGATGTTACCGTTTGCCTAAATAAAATGTTTATTTAAATAGAATAAACTTGGGAGACTTTTAGAACAAGTTTGATTAAAAAAAAACTATTTGCTTTCTCTGCAAACAATTTTAATATTTGGGTCACTATAAATATTAATAGATTTCTTGAAAGATGTGTGAGATGAATTTTATTAATATTTTTATGTTGTTCCCAATTTAACGAAATTAATTTTACAATATAATTTTTATAATGTTGGAATTATTTTTGTCTATATTTGCTACTAGACTTATTAACATTTCTATAGTAATATTTTTGACTTCTGACCCAGAATTGTAAGAAAAAATTATTTAGAATAAAAGGTAAGAGTAAACTCTAGGCTTAAATAAAGAGTGTTCCACCAAGAAGTGCACAAACTTTAAGGGGACATTCCAATATTAACATTTTTTATACATATACACCTTCGTCTGAAAATGCAGTTGCCAGTGTCGTAGATATGGGGGTTGGGTATTTTCGCGGGGTGCAACTTGTAAGTCGTTGAATTTTGTTGAAATATTGCTCTTTAAGAAGTTGAATCGCAACCAGCTAACCTTTGGCCATCAGTAAATAAAAAATAAAGGTCGTAAAATTTTGAAAGTTATGTTTAGCAAAGTTGCAAATGAAGTTAGGAATAACAATTTTCAATCAAAAAATTGTATATTTACTTAACAGACACTCCGGAAATCAACCCTAACCTACCTCGTTATGTTATCTACTGTTTTTAATTTATTGGTGTTAATAGCAATGTTAGACTATGTTTACCTATTTTTATGTTTGTTTATTTGTTATTACTTTTGTACATAAATTTCGTGCAAGTTTAGTTTTTCTATGCCGACCCTATTAAATAAAATAATTTTGGAAAACTGTAGTTCATAGTGTAAATGTAAAGTAAATAGAAAATTTGACAAAAGTAGGTACTTTGTTCAACTTATAACCAAATATACATAAATATGATTTGATGTCTTGAATGATTTATCTTGAAAATGTAGTTTTCAGGATAAGTTTAAAGGACTTAAAAAAATCATAGAAATTGTGCTTCAGCAAGGGCTGACATATATGCAGAATTACTACTACAGTTTTGTAAGTACTAAATGTCTAACGTGCGTTTCAGGACCAAGGTTTTCTTTATCAACGTTTTTCGACTATTTTTGCCCGAGAAATGTCAAATTAAAGTTTGTGCGTTTCCTTTGGAATACACCCCGTACATGACATTTACATATTGTTATATTACTCTACTTACCACTATTGTCTCTCAGATGCTTCTCTGTCTTCATTCCCTTGCAGAGAGTCCTTGTGATCAAAGAATAAGTCACCGCCAGCACCAGAAGTGGTATGACAAGTAATATAACATCCAAAAATATATTGTATGCTTTCTCGTAGTCCAGAGACGTCCAGTTTTCCCTGCATTTATGATTACCTGTGGAAAATGCAAAAAAATCTCATTGAGACACAAATAAATGATATGTGTTTTAGAATATACAAGATATGACAATGACACCATGATAAACTTTGAGAACTGACTCATCAAAGCATACAAAAAAATTGTGTTTAGATCAATTATAACTGAAGAACCACTGAAGATATACATTTTAAATATGGTGTATTGTACACTGCATCCCATTTTCTTTTTTCAACTTTTTTTTTTCAAATGGAATGACCCATATTAAATATCATGGGTGAATGTAAAATTGAATGCCCTTTCGACTGATAAGGTTGACCATACTCATTTCTAACAGTTTTCCGAAAAAATTAGGTTCTTTTCTAAAAGTAGACTTTCAGCGGAGACTGGAGTTTTGTCAGTGATGTTAAGTCAAGATGATGATTTTTTTAAACAGGTCATGTTCTCCGATGAAGCTACTTTTCATAAAAATGGTTTAGTTAATAGTCATAATTGTCATTACTATGACACAGTAAATCCTCGCCAATTCCGGACAACTCATAGCCAACGATGGTCTTTGAACATGTGGGGAGCAATTTTGGGAACCTATGTCATTGGACCATTATTTTTTGACCAGCATCTAACTGGAGCAGTTTATTTAAACGTTTTAACAAACACTCTAGAAGATTTGTTAGACGACATTCCTTTAACTACACTTTGAAGAATGTGGATGCAATATGATGGTACCCTACCTCACAATACCGCTGCGATTCGTCAGTTTTTACACGAAACTTTTCCCAACAGATGGATTGGGTGCGGGAGCACTAGTGAGTTGGCCTTCAATGTGTCCAGATATGACAAAGTTGTGACTTCTTTTTATGGAGATTTATAAAAAATAAAATTTACGTTACACCACCACCAACTACAGCGGAAGATATGTGACAGCGCATTACAGTAGGTAGCATTTCAAGAAATTACGCGAGATATGCTGACCAATGTTGAACAGTCTTTTAAAAACAGAATTCGTTTGTGTATTAATCAAAATAGAGGATACTTCGAGCAATTGATATAAATCAGCGGTTTAAGTATTCTTCTCCTTGTTGTGTTCCGAGTTTCAGTTTGTTTCGTTTTGCGTTGTGTTTTAGTTGTTGTTAGTGGTTTACTTTTGTTTGTCAAACCACTTTTTAAACATGCCAGTAAATATTGACACTGACAGTCCCAGCCCTGATATAACTAAAACCGCTGTATCTTTTCCATTGCATCACAAGCAATATTCGTATGAACTAAGACGAAAAATCCTAGTCAAATTAGTCACTGTTTGCATATAAATGAAATGTCATCTTGACAATTCCCAAATTTGGATATCTCGCAAATTTTAATACTGGTGTTAATGGATACGAAAATATGCAAAAAATCGATATTTCGACGTTCAGAAAATATATCCAACTGTTAGGTACCGAGATACGATCAAAACAACTGTTAAAATTTTAATTTGATTGTCAACTCTGTTTTAAATGCACTAGTCAAACTATAATCTAAAACTAATAACCAACAAACGTCCTTCATTTTCTTTCACTTTAATACACATAAAATATTGGAACGATTGTCTGTGATAGACAGACTATGAAGGCATTTATGCCATCATTGTATTTCTTTTTGGCGTATAACAAATAATTAATTCACGCCCGCAACGACTGTTTTTGATATTAGGACACACTTGTGACGTAATGGCACTCTTAAAACGGTTCTACTTATAAATGTAAGAGAAAAATGGTTTTGCAAGGCCTTCTTGACGCTGTTACATAGCTACTTTTTCGGATTTTAGAAAAGAAGCTGATTTTTCTGGAAAAATGTTAAAAATAAGTATGGACAACCTTATATCTGTCGAAAGGCCATTCAATTTTGCATTCACCCATGACAATTAATATGGGTCATTCCATTTGAAAAAAGAAGTTTTTCAACCCGTAAGATTAATGTAAAATAAATATGATGTAATGTAAGTCAATAAAAGTCTCAGTATTTCCGAACCTGAATAACGTACACGTTTTGCTCGTAGATGACAAGATAGAGATTTATGCTAAAACGAACTGTGAAAACTTCAGGTTTCTAACTCTTACGTTTTAGACGTTATCTAGCCTCATTTAGAAAGCTGAAATTGTGATTTTTTTTTTAAAACAACTGATTATTTCGAAAACGGTAAGTTTTAAACACCATGTACATTTAATAAACTCTGCTTAATGTTAACCAAGGAATTAAAAAATGCAAAAGTATACAGGGTGTTTCATTTAAAATAACCCCACGCGAATCATTTTTTTTACATAGTCTACATGATTCCAGGCAACTTTTATTGAAACCATTTTTTTTTATAAATTTTACAGTTGCAGAGTTACAGAAGAATCCCTCTTAGGTGGAACACCCTGTGTATACAAAAGGTAAAAATGTTAGTAATAGCCCTTGTTTTTCACCAAATTTAAAAGAATAAAGTTGATTATGACAAAAAACAAATTCACTTCAAATCAGAGTATATGTTTTAGTAATTATTCATTACGTTGGGTTAAATACATATGTCTATCCTTTTGTGTGTGAGCTGGTCTAACAATAGCAATATTCAAGTATAACTGTAAAAACTATATCCAATAAAGATATTTCTCTTAGTATTTGTGTGGTATAAATAGAAACCTTTTACGTTTAGCTTTTCTAAAGGTAACTGCACTACACCAGGTTTAAAGTCTGCGTCTGCAACAATACTTGAGTAATTTAAACTGCGTTTCACATTCAATCTTTGAAGGATGTTCGCCCTAAAGTCCCTTAAAAAGGAAAAGTTTTATTAAATAAAAATCACTGTTTTTTTGTTTTATTTTCTTTCTCTGAGAGTTTTCGCAATATCACGATTCTATTCTAAATTAAGACATATTTATTTTTAGTTAAATATTAATGCTAATTAGGTATGTTTTTTTAATTAAATTGTTAAATACCGATGTCAATATTATTTCTACTACGTACGAGGTCTTTTCAGAAAATAACCGAACTTTATTTTTTTTAAACTTTATTATCAATTTTACTCAGTATTGGTCTTTGTTTCCTTCAAAGAACTTCAAAGAACAAGCTTCATTTGATATTATCAATAGTCTGAAAATAGCGTCTAGATTTTAATTTCGGAAATAAAAAAGTGAGTGTGTGGGCGCAAGCATCATGAGTTGTCTCGCCACAACTTTGGTCTCTTTTAATTCCATTAAAGTCGAAAGAAAGAGTGAGCATCACTTTGACATGGGATCGAGACTGACGTGCTTTCTTGGGACGTGGAGACCCTTTGCCAATCCATTGTGATGATTATCATTTGTCTTAATGTCTCAGCTTCCGTATCCCGTTATGATCCTTTCAATGAATTTTTTATCGTCCTTGGATTGTTCAAAAAGTTGCCGACAAATGTCCACACGATTTTCTTTCAAAATTTGTTGTTCGTTCGGTGACCGAACAACCAATTTAGTTACAACTCTATGTATGTTTAATTTTTCAGTCAAAATTTCTTGACATTACCCAATTGAGATGCAAAGCTCTTCTGCAACTTCTCTGACAATCAATCAGCGATTTGCACGCACCAGGTCTTTGACTCTGAGGGTGGGTCATCACTTGAAAATGAAGGCCTTCCTGGTCGAGGAGTATCTTCAATTGACTAACGACCACTTTTAAATCATGAAAACCGTTGGTAACATTACGTACGCCCCGGCATTATCTCCGTAAGTTTGTTTCGAAAGTTGAAACGTTTCCGTGAAAGTTTTCCTCAGTTTCATGCAATGTTTTAAATTGCATCGTTGTTCCAGAAAATCACACGTTTCAAGAATCGTCACTCAAATAACAATATCACGAAAACCAAATGAGATATCAACAATACAACAACATGTGGTTATAGAGGTTATGTGTAACGCAATACTGCCAAACGCATGTCACTAAATATTTCCATTAGCGCGTAATTATTCACAAAGTTCGGTCATTTTCTGAACAGATCTCGTACATACTGTAAACTCTGTAAAGAGAATCGCATTAAAAGAATAAAACTTACTAGCCGTGAAAATATTTTATTCTCGTTACGTCGTTGTAAGGGCGTTTCTGGGCGGAAGCTATTAAGCACAATTTCCATATGAGACGGAGTGTATTGCAAATAACCCACTTTTACAGTACTTGGAATAAGATCTATTTTATGCATCATATAAACTATTCAGCTTAAAGCCATTTTAATGTAAAATGTGCATATAAAGTGTATTTATTTCATTGCAAGACATGTTTGCGAGGGTTGACCAGCTACGGAGTATTATGAAGCTTGGGTAGGTTAAAAAATTGTTTGAGAGTCAGAGCGGTCAAGTAGGAACGATTTCCTCATAATACATTAGAATGCAAGAAGCAATATGTTCAGTAATTTTACGTTATACAGAGTTTGAAGCAGATACGAAGGTTATTTATTGAATGTCGCTGAAGTCAGGAAGAAAATTTAATTCAAGATATCCTTTTATACAGGGTGATTCAGTCATAATGTCATTAATTTTAACCACGTATTCGGAAGGCTTAATAAAGACAGAAAATCGGAAAAAAAAATTTTTTACTCGACTTTTAAAAATGAAGGAAATCAACCCATAACTCCCGCTACGAGGGCTGCCCTGCCGATGCCCGGATGCTCGGAAAATTTTGTAACGTAATGTCACGAACAGTTGTCGGCTAAAGGAACAGCGTTGCCAAGTTCAGGTTCAAGCTCGCCAGGTTAGTATTTGACATATAACCGACCACTTCGTACACTCGATGCACCTGGGCGACTACAGCTACTACGAAAACAGCCGGTATTTTAGATTTTAAATTAAATTTGTTGATACGATTTTCCTTTGATAAAAGACCGACAACTTTTTGCTACTACACTCGTATTAGTCTAGGGGCTAGGGGCCAGATAGGTTTCCGTAGCCAAACAGAATTCCACGGCTGCAAATAACTTATTTTTAAGTATTTTGACTTCTCGAAACCAAAAAACTTGGTGGCAAAGCCTGAAAGTGGTCAGTTTAATTGTTGTTAACAAATTGAATGTTTAAATGGCTGTAAAAAGTTTATTTTTATAGCTAGTACAATTTTTTATCTGTTAATTATTACGTTTTCTCACAACAAACATATATTTTTTTGAAAATTAAAAAAAGATTAACTTTAACCAAAGTTATTGCAAATTTAGTGCAAATATATTACATTTTCCGTCTCTGCGCGCACCAATTTTACCATATCTCTGGTTCAATTGGACGGATTGAGACGCACATCTCATTTTAAAACTTAAACTTTATTTTACAAGATAGGTAAGTTCCATTGATTAATTAATTTATTTAAAAATTAATGGCAGCTTAGAAAGTTGTGGAATTTCAACGAAAATGTTGGCTTTATTGGTTTATAAAACTTTTTTTGTTATTCAATTTTTATGAAAAGCCAAAAAAGTTACCGGTTATTGTTCCTCGCATCCTAACAATGATTTCATGCCTTGCTTGATTGTTAGAATGCAAAGAACAATATCCGGTAACTTTTTTGGCTTTTCGTCGAAGTTGAATAATAAAAAAAACCTTATAAACAATTAAAACCGGCATTTTCGTTGAAATTTCACAACTTTCTAAGATGCCATTAATTATTAAATAAATTAATAAATAAATGGAACTTAGAACCAGATATGGTAAAATTAGTGCGCACGGAGACGGAAAATGTAAGAAATTTGCACTAAATTTGCAATAACTTTGGTTAAAGTTAATTTTTTTTAATTTCCAAAAAAATACATATTTGTTATGAGAAAACGTAACTATTAGCGAATAAATTGTACTAGCTATAAAAATAAACTTTTTACAGCCATTTAAACATTTAATTTGTTGATAACAATTAAACTGACCACTTTCAGGCTTTGCGACCAAGTTTCTTTGGATTCAAGAGGTCAAATATTTAAGAATAAGTTGTTTGCACATCTGGCTCCTGGACTATATGGTGCACGTGTGCAAATTAAAACTGGGTTAAAAGGTTACTGAACCACAGGTTACCCTAGGTCGGAAACACGACGTACCGAGTTGTTTATTTGTCTCCGTCCCATTGTTTTTTTATGGAATATACAAGTCTCTCTTCTAATTGCAGTCAATATTTAAATACTGCATACAATTTATCCTCTCTTTATAATTTATCTAGTGAGTGTTGGTTTTTTATGACATTATTTCTGTAACGAAATTGAAATGGTTATGAAATGAAATTTAAATTATTTGAACTTTTGGGGTTTTGTAACTTCAATATTAAATCTTATTTAAAGTGAAACAGCTAATTTCTTTGCAGCCATAATAGTCACATTTGGTCAGATGAAACACACTACTACCCGCACACTACTCGTCGGTGGTATAGCTTTCAGAGGAGATTCGGTGTCAATGTCAATGGCGATCGTTTAATTGGGCCGCATTTTCTACCTGAACATCTGAATGGGCCGCGTTACTAATTTTTAGTAGAATTGTTTGAAAACCTTCCCCTTCGGGCTTACAGCAAATGTTGTTAAAATATTAAAATTATGATGCTAATAAAAACTGATTTTTGGCAAGGCATGCTCAGACCTCGAGGTTCTTGCTGGGCAACAATAACAATTTAATATGTTGATTGCATAAATAAAAAATAATTTATAGCATTTTAAATTATTATTGGTTGACGTGAGCAAAACCGTTTATTTATTGTCTTTATATGAGCGAAAATATATAAATATGGCAACGTTGCATCTAGGGCGCGTTGTTCATAGGTTCATATCGTAGCCGTGCATAATATTGTGACGTCAGCCGGTCAGTAACAGCCTGAAAAGGGGGTTAAATAATGATTTGAAAATATTTTTTTTCAGCTTAAATATGCATTTAAATTTTTTTTTAATCACGCCATCGTATTATACTCATTTTTCTCTATCTGCTCTTAAAATTAATGACATTATGACTGAATCACCCTGTATAGACAGTTCCACTAGGAGTGAGATATTTTATATGTGAACACAATTCAATGGAGTTTTTTTTTCATGCCTGAGGAGTCAAGGTATAAACAGAAATTTGAATTTTGGTAATAGTTCGAGAATCATTTTCCCAATCAAGTTGAAATTTTTAGAAAATATATTTTCTAGGACGAGAAACTAGAAAAAATGTGCCTATTTCCTTTGTATTCTTCGCTAAAACAACACGTTACTAGTAACCAATAGTAGGTGTAAAAATGACTAAAGTTTTTTCTTTCTTTATATGAAAATTTGAACCTAAACTTTGCATTGATAGTTAAAAGTAAAGAAAACCTAATCGCTCTGGTAATAAAACAAATTTTTTATTTTTGTATGTAGGGTGTCCTGATTTCCTAATATGTCTAATATGAAGATGGCTCAAAATACCCCAATTGCAAATGGGGAAAATACATACAATGTTGTCTACTAGCTAATAGTCGGTTGTTAGTCATGTTGTTAGTCATGTAGTGACAAAAATAAAAACATAATAAAAGTTATCGTTGCTTTTAGTGTGTGTATGTATTTATAACATTTACATTTTGATGAATTGTAGATTAAATAAAGTTGTGACAACTGTAAGTGACAAAGATTTCAGATTCCCAAGTTAAAACATTCTCACTAGAAATACTGGCACCATTTTAAGATATTTTTCATGCTGGTTTATTATTTTTTTAATTTAAAAAATATGCACATTTAATTAGGATACTTATTTAAAACTATAACTTCCTTAAAATTGTAGGTCCTAAGTGAAACACAAATGTTTTACAACTTTTGTAAAATATATAAAATATGATAGTCAGAATGTGTAGAATAATATCGTGTTAAATTTTGGATGAAAACATCGCTAAATCAATTTCAATAATTGACCCATATAAAAATCGTAGCTGAACTAGTATTTGCAACTTTGGGGACATTATAGATTCGAAAGGTACGCCTTTTTAAGCTCTATCTAAAAAGATCTTAGGCTTCATTCTTCAAAAAAGATGTGTGTGAATTGTATGCCACTTTAATCAACCTTGTGAGGTACAGGACTACTAGACTCTGGGTGTGTTATTAGAGAAAATTTCTATTTAAGTTACACCTCTCTCTCTCTCAACATCTCTTTATTAGTAAATAAATGGGGGACATGGTAAATTTTAATTGAGTTTCATATTAACAGAATTTTTCATATATAATATAGATATTACCTTGTTTAGTCGGTTGAAGTTGACTTAAAACAGCAATTGGTGTCATGCATATTAGACTTCCGATCCATATAGCTATGATGAGCCTGTAGGCATGGCTGAGGGTTTGCCATTGCAGGGATCTCAAGGGATGGCAGATAGCGTAGTAGCGCTCGACGGATATTGCCACCAGAGTCCACACGCCCACGGCTACCGACGAGGCTGAAACAAAATTGGCGATATTTCTAAAATATTACTAGACCCTAGATGATATGTTGTTTACGTTTTCCTTAGCTTTCTCGTTAAGTGCATGTTGACGGTGAGAAACTGAAGGTGTATTTTTATTGTGTCGTAAAAGAAAAGAATAAACATAAACATTTTACGTTTTATACGTAAAACTTCATTGAAACAATGCAGCACTATGAATATTATATCTAGATCTCTAAAAGCTGTTTTACATTGACAATTTATTGATCAATTAATTCATGAAGTCGCTTCATCAAGAAATTGGACAAGTGTAATGCACCAAATCAGCTGTCAAATTAGAGCATGTTTTAATTTTCGTCAATTTCTTCGTGAAGTTCGGAAGTACCAACCCAACAGATTTCCAGCCTCAGATCAGTAATGAGGTTATGTTATTGGAATATGTAAATAATTGTGTGGCGTCGTGCTAGTTTTGCATTGTTTTTACTGATTTGTTATTTACAAAAACTAATATTTATATAATATGTGTCAGAACGGTACCGCTGTTGTATTACTACAATTATGAGTGGAAAGGTGACATTTTTGAAATTTGTTTGCTTCTTTGATTCATTTGTAGAACAGATTCATACGTCAAAAAACTTGACAAAGTCTGTAGCAGTGTAAAACCACACTGTTTACCAATCAATTCGTGAATTAATTGATGAAGAACTTCGTCAATTTATTCATGAATAAATTGTCAATGTAAAAAAGCTATTAGAAACTTATTGGATATACGATCATATTTCCTTAAGCCATAAATAAATTTTGTATCTCGTGTATACGATCCTTAGCACGTCCATTTAAAGAGTAATTTGTTTATTTAAAAAAATAAAATAAAATATGATATTGCAATACAGAACCTTTAATAAAGTAAAAGATTTTTTAAACTATTTTTTGACTTAATCTCTATATCGAAAATCCGAATATAAAATAATTCCCAAAGTTTTAGTTGAATACACAAAAGATAAGCGCACACTATTTAATCGAATGCAAAATTATTTAAAAAAAAATCTATCGTTTTTTGCTACGAAGTAACATTAACAAAGATTTTAACTATTAGAGAAGCTATTATTATATACTAAATTTTTTGAGTACCTCCGCTAAGATAAGAACTAATTAATATGACCGAGTCATCCGAAAAACCATAAAAATTTAATTTAGCACACACTAGATTATGGTATTGAAAGCTTTAGAATTGTCAAACAACATAAGTATGCAATTATTGTTGCCTTTATAACATGCTTTAAAAATATCATCGGCGACTTTGGATAAGACCACATATATACTGAACCCCTTCCTAAAGCCACATTGACATTCAGGTAAAATACAGTTTTGCACAAATTATTAATTTGAGTGTAAAGCAGAAATTTGGAAATAGCAGTAATAATAAGCCTTAATTCTGGAAATAAAAGAGGATTATTTGTTTTAGAGATATACAAATTTTTCTTTTCTCTGTCACTAATAAAAGTGTAAAGTTTCTAATTATTTACATTCAATAAAATTAGCTTGTATATTGGATTAAATTAATTTTCTGTAATGCTACATCTCCTTGCCTCATAAATTTTTAAAAATAGGAGTAAGCCAAGGGGCTTTAGGTTCAGTACATTTCATTTCTTTAAAGGGTACTGATTAATTTTATTGTCAAGGTTGTCTTCCTGTAATAGAAAATACCAAGATAAATTACACAAATTAATTAAAACATCGATATTTAATAAACTTTGGTTGAACTTTATCTTTTGTAATATTTCAGCTTGCCTGTCGGTTTTTAGAACAAATAAACTGAGTACTCCTGCTGAGTAGAAGTTTCGAATTCATTTTAAATTACTCTTTAATTTATATTACCTTGTAAGAGACAATTTCCACATTTAGACAATTTAAACAATTACAGTAATTAATAAGTATAAGCATCCTTGCACATATAATTCGTTGTAAATAACACAGTTCGTAAAAAGAAAAAAACGTATTAAAATACTATCCATAGGTGTAGTCAATGTAGGCAGGGTGAGCCGAAGCAGGAAAAATGATTAATTTTGTTAATTACAGAAATCTGGGAAAACAAAGTCCATCCTCTCGCTTATAAGGTTCGCCTCTCCTTGAACAAATTCCTAACAATGCACAAGGACATATTAGTTAATATAAAATTAGTACGAAGCAGATATTCTACTTACAATACACGTGCAATTCATATACAGGGTGTTAAAAAAAGAGTGTAAAATATTTAAGGAGGTAATAGTATGAACCAAAATAAGCAGAAAAGTCTCAATAAACATGGGTCCGCAAAGTAACGGTTGCGGAGATATGGAATGTTTTATGTTTTTTAGCCCCTTTTTTTATTTTGCAAAAACGTTGTGTATTTTCTTATAATAGTTGGTTGATGTTTAGTGAAATAAACAGTACGTATTTGACAGTTGTTCTCAGTGCACAAGTTTTCTTTCGCTATGGCTGGTTACTCTAACGCAGAATTAACAGACATGCATTTCATGTATGGTCGTGCTAATGGGAACGCCACCGAAGCGCGACGTCTTTATGTTGACGCTTATCCAAATCGCCAGATTCCTTCACAACGCATGTTTGGAAGAATTCACCAAAGATTGCGTGATACCGGTTCCTTGAGCAAACAGTGCCATTTATCCGGAAGACCAAGGTCGGTATCCACTCCTAGAGCAGAAGAAGAAATTCTAGCACTGGTAGAGCAGAATCCAGGTACGAGTGTGCGGAGAATATCAGCCGAGGTAGGAATTAGTGGTCCTCTTGTTTGGAGAATCCTTCACGAGCAACTGCTTTATCCATACCATGTGCAACGAGTACAGGCCTTAAATCCAATAAATGATCATCAAGCACGTTTGGTTTTTTGCCGCTGGTTTCTACGTCATGATGCTGAAGACCCTCGTTTTCTTGCAAACATTCTTTTTACTGATGAGGCCGGGTTCACAAGAAATGGAGTGTTTAATTTTCACAATACGCATATTTGGGCCGACGAAAATCCTCATGCTCTAATAGAATCTGGACATCAGGCACGTTTTTCATTAAACATTTGGATGGGTATTGTAGGTGACAGGTTTCTAGGTCCTGTTGTTTTACCAAACCGATTAACAGGCGCTGCTTACCTCAACTTTCTGCAGAACACACTGTATGAGTTTTTGGAAGACATTCCTTTGAATCAGAGGCAACAAATGTGGTTCCAGCATGATGGTGCTCCAGCTCATTTTTCCATGGCCGTTAGAGAGCATTTACACCAAACTTTTCCACATAGATGGGTAGGAAGGGCCGGACCTGTTTTATGGCCTCCAAGATCGCCTGATCTGAACCCTCTAGATTTCTTTGTTTGGGGATATTTGAAGACATTAGTGTATGGTACTCCTGTAAATAGCCTGGAAGAGCTGCAGCTACGGATTAATCAAAAGTGTCAAGAAATCCAAACCAAGGAGGGTGTTTTCGAAAGAGTTCGAATATCGTTGAGACGAAGATGTCGTGCCTGCTTGGAAATGGACGGAGGGCACTTTGAACATCTTCTGTAACTTTGTTTTTTGTTTGTTAAAAGCTTCCTTTGTCGGTTTATTCCTAATAAAATAAAATGTTTGAAAAACGAATAGTGGTCCATATCTCCGCAACCGTTACTTTGCGGACCCATGTTTATTAAGACTTTTCTGCTTATTTTGGTTCATACTATTACCTCCTGAAATATTTTACACTCTTTTTTTAACACCCTGTATAGGCGTTATATTGATGGTTAAAAATAACAAACTTTTAATAAAATTCTTAATAATATTATTATTCTCTTATGATTCCCTTATTAATTAAATTATAAGTGGAAGACGAAAACATACTTTTTATGGCTAGCTAAAAATTGATCTGGTCGATAGGTTCACTAAATTAGACATTTTCTGTGTTATTTGATACCGAACTTTTTCTAATAATTTTTTTAAACACAAACTAAAATCACAGAACACTTCAATAAAACAGGCTTATAGGAAAAATTTAAATTTTGGTCTGGATGAAATAAATTTTAATTAAAACTCATAAAGCGTAAAATGAAATTTTTAATCAAAATAAACAAAAAATATAGTGTATTCCATTTAGATACCAAGTGACTCTGTGGGTAACTCATATTACACTAAAATTTTCTTAGTATCTTCATTTCTTCAGTATTTCATCAGTATCTTCACCACTTGTATATTCATTCAGCGAATCTGTACTTATTTAAATCACCAATCCAATTTTCATTAATTTGAATTGAACATCTTTCAAGATATATCTGTAGATGTGACATTAGTTTTCAGAAATGTCTCGTATCTCGAGTATTAAGTCTTTAATTTTCGTTTTCGTTTTTTTTTGTTATTTTACTTATTCCTATTTCTGCAACGCCAGAAGACGAGCAACCCCCAACTCAGAAATTTTGCCGAACTCCCCCTTTGTCATAGGACCTCGACTAAATTTGTATAGCTTGTGTGAATACACTGACATACAGCTCACTAGAAGGATGACGAGCATGGCGAGCTTTCATCCATTCAAGTACTAACCGCAATCGGTATTGTCTGACTTTTTATATCAATGACATGAATGCCAATTCGCTAAGCCGCACTCGCCCTCAAAATGTACTTAAAGTCCGTATGTATATGGAGAGTTTTCTGCACTGGTCTTAAGTCTCGGCGTGCTGTAAATAAGACAAAAGATTTCTATATGTATAGTCAATGTGGTATCTATTTCTTACAAAGTAAGATTTTTGGATAGGATTGACAAAAATAATTTCACCAGCTCTTTTCTGGTTATTTCTGGTCATTTAATTGATTTTATGTTAGCAAATATCAGAATCTACCTTTAGTTATAGACTTCATATCCTAAAATTCCGGTGTAGCTAGAGATAGAGATAGAGATAGATATTTTATTCTTTGAGACATAAAAAATGTATAAGGAACGTCATAAGAAGTTGTTAAAAAAGAAATTACATTTTAACAAATATTTAAACACAGGTAATATATAAAAAACATAATATATAAAAAACATAAAATATATAAAACATAATATAAAAAAGAGTAAATAAACGTTACAAGTGATGCTTGATTAAGTATAAAAGTCTGCGGTATTATATAAGCACTTTTCAACAAGATACAATTTTAGATTGAATTTAAAAGCATTTACACTTTTAATATTTTTTATATTTTCCGGAAGATTGTTGAACACTTTGGAACCAATCCGGCTTGGAGTTTTAAAAGTAATATTTACTTTAGAATAAGGGATACATAAATCATTCTTTATTCTAGTATTAATGTTATGGACGTCACAGTTAGCTAAAAACTTAGATTTATTATTAAACACAAACAAACATATCTCAAACACATAAAGGCCAAAAAGGGTTAAGTTTATATCTACCAAATAGTTCCCGTCATGAATGTGTACTAGGGACATCAGCAATGCATCGCCATATTCTCTTTTGCGCCACAAAAACATCTCATGAGAGAGTGGAGTCACCCCAAAAAGCAATTCCATACTTTAGTCGGCTTTCAACTTGCGCATAATACAGTTTTAGTAAATGGTCAGTTCCAGTTACATTTCTAATGTTATAAAAAAGGTAATAAACAGATGCGAGTTTAGATGTTAAAAATTCACAATGTTTCTTCCAGTTTAAATGCGAGTCTAGATATAAATCCAGAAACTTACAGCAAGTATCATGAATATGAAACTTAGTATCACTATTAACATAAAGCTCAAGATCACCAAGTGGTTTCTGCGAGGTGTTAAAACCTAAGAATCTGAGTTTTATCCGAATTAAAATATAAACATATATTATTAAACCAATCAATCAAGTCCGAGATCACGGCTTCACATTTGCGTTTAAGGTTATTTTCACATTTATCAGAAATTACAAGAGCGAGCACAAAGAACAAAATATGCCTCACCGGACAATTCAACAATATTGTTAAAATATAACGGAAAAAGGATTGGGCCCAAAACTGAGCCCTGCGGAACGCCTATGCTTATTTCAGCTAGCTCCGAGCTATATGTTTGCATAACATGATTACTCAAATGGTTAAAGCTCACATAATGAGTTCGCTTTTTACCCTGATACGGTAATTATATAATATGCGGATTAAAATATCATGATCAACACAGTCGAATGCCCTGCTGAGATCACAGAAGATCCCAACAGGGCACTCACCATTATCTATGAACTCAATCAGCTGATCTATGAAACTGTGAATAGCAGTAGAAGTAGATTTTTTAGAGCGGAAACTATGTTGATGATCTATAAAGATATTAAATTTATTGGTAAAATTCAACAATCTGTCCAAAAAAGCATGCTCAAAAATTTTGGAAAACCCACTAGTAATAGGCCTGTAGTTGGCTAGAGAATCATTCTTCTTTAAGATTGGAATGACTTTTCCAGTTTTAAGACAAGATGGAAACTTCCCCTCCGAAAATGAGAGATTTACTAAATATGTTAAGGGTTCTAAAACCAGCTGTAAGTGGTTTTTAATTATTGACAGAGGGATACTGTCGGGACCTGCGCACATTTTACTCTTTAATTTGGAATTTAATAATTTAAGCAACTCATTAGGTACAAAAGAATCTAGATATATAGAATTATTATTTGATATTATTTTGTATGGGAATATTACTAGACGAAGGAACTTGTTTCCTGACCCCTAAAGGCGCATCAATAAAATAACTATTAAATTGAGAAGCCATCAGATTAGGGTTTTCAATTTCCTCATTATTATGCAAAATATTAAAATTATTAAATGCTTTACACCGATTTGTTAATCTATCCAATATATCCCATGGTGTTTAGGTAGGGTTATCTGATCTATCAATTTTATTTTGCAAATACTCTTGCTTTTTCTTATTTATTAAAATAAAATGTGTTTTCTTTGCATTATTATATGCCGGAGAAAGATCTGGATAAGTATTCTTCAGTATGAATAAATCCCTCAAATTTGTACTGGACAATACTACATCATTGTTAACCCAATTATTTTTAAAATTCGTTTTAAATTATTTTACCGGAAAACAGTCATCAAAGTGTTTTAAAAACTTCGCGAGAAAGCTAAATCTATTACGTATAACATTTCTTTTTTCCAATTTATATTTATATTTACTCTCCAGAACCAATTTTGAGCTTTATTTTTACGATTTATTAAATATTGACTTGAAGATACAAACTCTGAAACTCCGTAAGTTACTTACCCTTGATTATCTTGACATCGAAAATCACTAAAGTGCGTTTTATGTATTTATTTTCGTATTTCTCTTCTCCTTGTGACTAGATCGATAAACTGATTTTGAACTGGATTCCATAAAAAATGATTAAATAAGGAGTTTTATAGGTAATTGATTATAACGTATAACGCAATTTAAACATTATTTCTTTTAACAGATACTAGAGCAAGATATAAATATAATACAAATGTATTTAATTGTATAGTACGAGTAGTATGCATGGTAATGTTAATTGACTTTTCGTCAGAGTGCCATCAAAATATTAAAAAATAATTATTATCCTTTAGTAGCGTATTTGTATTTAAATTTAATTTAAAACTAATTTTTTTCCAGCACATTAAGTTATGCAAAACGTAATACTTAATTGAAATTGGAACTGTAAATAATTAATTATTTTAAATGGTGAATATTCATTCACAAATAAATTGAATACGAGAGTTAAGGGTAGATATTTGTGAATCTACGTCTGATACTGCCACTTCCAAATATACCGGGTGTTTCAGGATTAATAGAACAAACTTAAAATTTAAATTTGGGTGGCTAAAATAAGAAAAAAGAGACCCATAAACTAATGGGAAACACGGAATCCGTTTTTGAGGTACAGGATGTTGAAGTTAGTACAAAAATTTCACATTTATCTTTGACACTTGATGTAGAATAATGCCTGTTCGACTAATGATTTAATGAATGAATGAACACATTGAAAAAACCACTTGTCGTAGAAAGTTTGGACTTTATCAAAGGTGCCAAGGGAAATCGTGTTTTTACTTTCAGTTAGTTAAGTCATTAGCCTCTAGTTTTATCAGTCTACGCATCATCTTCAGAGTTTCTACGAACTGGGTAACACAAATGTCATCTTGTCCATAACACAAATGCTTCACCATAACAGAAATGTTGTCTTGCTTCAACATAAATTAAAACAATATCCATCAACTCCGAGTTGCTATACATGTAAGACATTTTTTGACATTTGAAAAACTAATGTAAACACTATCGCAAAAACGTCAATACTAAAATCGGATTTCAGTATTCGAAACTAGAGCCACGCGGAGAGAGAACGTATTGCGCACAGCTCACAACGCGAATGGCACTAGAGACTAGAGTAGCTCAGCGATGTAAGGGTTGAAAATACTACAACTTTATGCCATTTATTTCTCTAAACGATATAATATTGTGTTGCAAACTCTAAGCGAGTGTCGAGTATACAAAGGCTTAATAGAGTAGCCAAAATTATACATAAGGCAATACAATACCAACTGCATAAATACATAGGGCAATACACAACACAAACAATATCAAAGATCAAATATTACAAATTATATTGGGACTTGACAATGACAATACATATTGTCGAGCATAATAGACCCAATTTAGGCTAAATATTCACACCCTTGCGAAAAATCAGTAATTTTCATAAATGCCATATAACACAATCCTTTTAAAATTAAAAATGAACTCTTTATGGGCTCGGTTTTGACCCATCCATCGAAAGAATATACCAGCGAAAGATGTGAACATAATAAAAATAATAGTAATAATAATAATAATAATTATTATTATTACATTACCTAATTACTATCACGAAACAAAAATCCGCGTCTGACAACACCAATTTTAGTTCATCATTAAAAACATTTTTTCTTCCTTATATATTTTTAGCTTTCCTGCATTTAGTTTACGAATAAAGTCAAACCACGAAGTTTTAAAATAAGAACTAGGTCAAAGGATAACTAATACTTATTTTTCTGGACCATGTCACAATAGAAAAGCTTTATTTTAGTTTCTTGTAAGAAGGCGATAATTCTTAAGTTGCAAAAATTGTGGTGGCAACTAATTTTGATTTCACTAATTCAGTGTTTAATTAATTTATTTATTAAGGGAAATGTGATTTATATTAATCTGTTAAAGTGTTTTAAAAGTAAGCAAGAACATTGCGGATGTTTCAGTTACTTATTACTTAATATAAATTAGGTTATCGAAGTAATGAACAACAAATAAATTAAAATAGAATTAAGAGCACAAATTCCTGTAGCAGCCATAAAAATAATAACTTCTCAAAACTTTAGGAATTGCTTGTTTGAAAGTTCGAAATTTTTAAGCGTCTTAAAGAATCGAAATTGATTTAAAAAGGTCACAGAATAATTGAATAATATACTATCGTGGTTGTTAAAATGAACCTTAAAAGAATTTTTATTGGTTTTGTTATATTCAATTCATGTTCAATGTGAAATATGGAAAAAATAAAAAACGCTTTTTTCTGAAAACATCTTGCT